TGTGTGTCTGCCGACGTTTTATGCTTTCCGGATCGAACCACCGCGGCACAAAAAATAAAATTAACACATAAGCGGCAGTTATTCCAAAGACAGCGGCGGCGTGTAACGTTCAAGAACTGCTCCCTATGCATACATATCTACAGGAATACATAATAACAATAATATTATTATTACTACCGTCAAAGAGAATAGGTTTTTATACAGTCCATAGCCGCATCATAAAGATGTACCGGAGATCACCAGAAATAAATATCATCATAACCACAGCCGGACAAGGACAGTAGTTCTTAGCGTATCATATGTAATATTACTCACTATAATGATACATGTTTATTTATAAATTTATAAAATAATTATTCTGAGCAGTTTTCAACTTCTAAATATGTTTTCTAATAGTAACTATGTCGAATTGCTTTTTTTCTAATTCATTGTTCAAGTGATCATCGAACCCTAAAAAATAAAATACTCGGTGAATTTTGTGATCCTTCTTTTCCCACTAGCACTAGCACCAGCTCTAGTCTCTTGTTAGTTGATCTATTTTATTTCGTATTATGATAGGTGTTCATTCTTGATTGGTTCTTTGGGAAATGTTAATAAAAAGCGATATAGATCATAATGATATATTTGCAGTCATGAATTCAGGGCGGTTGTACAAATAAAATTTTTCTTACAGTTGACGTAGATTAATATTCACATCGACAGCCGGATTTATTTCTTCTATTGTTTTTTTTTTAAATAGAATCCTATTAAAAAAAATGATATTTATATATATATATATATATGTACACCTGTACTCAAACCTAACTAATAACGTTTATAACTTTTAATACAACATTAATTTTGTTGAAATTTCTATTATTGTTTATTTATTTAAATAATAATTATTTTAATTATTATTATAAGACAAAAATTATTTTTGTCTTTTTAAACTATGTTTAAAGCGCATTTTTTCTTATTTATTATTAATAAGAAAAAAAAATTATCGTTATTTTTGAAGTGCATTTATAAGTTTTTCTTGAGGTACTTTGTAATATGCCAAGTTTGTGCATCTTTGTCATAGGATTATATATGCGTAAAAATATTGTTCGGTTTAGAAGGTATACACCCACTAAATTATAACCTCGACAACATTATCAAGTTTTTAAGGCAATTAATAAAAATTCGTACTGGCTGATTGTTCGTTCGGAATAACTGAAAAAAATGTCTAAATGCATTTCAAATCAGTGCCCTATTCACAAGTCTCGTTAGTTCATTTGAACTTTTTTGTGCAGTGACGCGTATTTCGTTAACACGATGTCAATAGTTAGGTACGCTAAAAGTAAAGTGTTTAGTGAACATACTGTCAATTCGACTATAGTTGAAATTTAATAAATAATAATAACACGTCTAGAAAAACAGCAAAATAATTAGAAAAAAAAGTGACGGAGAAAATGACGTCAACGTCAAATGAGATGGAGAGTATTGTAGGATGAACAGTAAAAATATACACAAGAGAAAAAAGTGTGGACTAATGTTGGACAAAATGCCTTTAGCAGCCAGCGGGGAAACCACACAAGATGATATTCAGCAGGAGTCTGTGTTAACACCTGTTTTTAACAGTAGAACACCGCGGCGCGTACAGATCTAGATTTCTTTTCTTGTAATGTGTTTATCCATCGTTTATCGTCACCTCTTTCATTACCACCACCGCCGTCAATTTTTTTCTCTTTACATTGTACAATAAGGTTTTCATTGTTAAAATGTATCGTACCGAGGAAAAATTATAACATGTAATTCGATTGTGTTTATATGAAGACGTACAAAAATTATGTGGACTCTATTATACAATTACTCGATGGAGATGTAAAGACTGCTGAAGTAATGACGCTATTAAAATGCATTAAACATTCGATTGAACATGTCTGATTATTTTGTCATTTTCGCAATATTTAAGGTTCAACAAGAATAATTTTAAATATTAGTGAAAATATTAATTAATATTACGGATCAAAAATATATTATAATACGAACTTATTTAGTAATGTTAAATACTACAATAATAAAATAAATTTTAGTCAATCAGTATTCAGCCATTTGAAATATATAATTGTGTTCAATATTTTTAATATTCAGCTCTTAACTACATGAAAGAGTTCAGATCACAAAACGTTTTACATAGTATGTATGCAAAAATTGTATAATATTTTATACGACTCCAAAAGTTAATAAATTAGGTTCTAAAAAAACATTTTAGAACGATAAAAACCGACAGCTAAATAAAACGACGATGAACGTCTCTACGAGCAAAATTCGTAAAATATAAAATAAAAGATTGTAAAAAAGAATAAGTAAATTGATTTTCTTGTTACTCAAAAACAAAAACTATACAAAACAAAATCATATTTTACATTTATAGTCATTTATTGTTGATAATTAGTATTTTATTCTAACTCGTATTCTACTTTACTCAAATATTGATATAATTGTATGTTTTTTAGCTCAAAATAAAAAAAAGTAAAATGGCTTACCATTCTGTTTTCTCGTTTTCTTCGGGTGTCAAAAATCCGTCATATTGTAAATATTATATAATATTGCATTTTTGACAAATTGAATAAACAACACTACTCGTTTTGACAAATTATAAAGAACTAATAGGGTCGTATACTTGTCAAGATTTTTATTGAAATCGTAGAATAGAATACAATCTTTGAGAATGCTCATTGAATTTTCCTTTGTCATAAAAAGTACTTTTATAAAAACAATATATGTATATATTTTCAAAATTTAGAGACGACTAGCCCTCGCCTAGTTGCGCTTACGATAACATTTACTATTTAAAGTAAACATAGAATCGACGAGTATTTTGTTCTTCTTGAAAAGTTAAAAAAGAAAATGTGAGATATCAGGTGTTTGGCCAAATGTTTGAAATGACTCGGTGGCAAATGTTATCTACTTGCAATATTAGTCATTTGCGGCATCATAAATGGTTTCACACTTAACCACAGAAGTAGTTAGCAAAATATCACAAATACCTGAAGTGTATTTTACCGATATGCTCAAAATAATCAAATAATTAGTCACGGGGCATTATTTATTTTTTTATTGAAAAATCGCGATTGGTTTGAAGATTTGATTTGTTACACTATTGTAGTGATGAAAATAACGTGCACAAAAACGAATATAGTGCAAAAATGTGATCGATAAATAAATGGCAACGATTATTACTCCACGCCATTGTGTTGACCGAAATGGGCACCACCTCTTTTGTCGTATTAACATACATCACTAGCGCCGGGGTGTTATTTTAGGAAAATCCGAAAAACTCACGCCCTCTTTGCATGGTCGAAAAACACAATTTATGGTGACGGCGGCGGTCGGGCACGCCGTATAGACAAAAACCACTGGGAATGGGTCTAGAAATTTTTTCACACCATCCGTAATTACACGAGGCAATAAGTATTTTGGGTGGTCTTAAAAAAATCCATCCGTGCGCGTTATAGTTATATTATATCGATTTTGAGTTGATTGGAGTCAAACCGTCAGACCGTAATCGTGACCCCGACACACACTCGCGCGCGGTAATTGTTGGTTGAGGTTCCTTTTTTCTTTCCCGTGTATAATTTTTCTTTTACCTAATTTTATTTATGTGTTTATTAACACAGCCCGAGCGTCGTCATCGGCGTTAACCGGAATCGGGTCCGTTTTTCTATTCATAGTCTTCTACGCGTCCGTAGACCGCGGCGTTTCTCTTCTGGTGCCCACCGAAACCATTCGGCAGTTCACTAATATACACACATCATGTTGTCGTTTTTATTGTAACATCATACCTCCGATTCACGCACCCTTTACTGCTTCCACGGATTTACGACTGTAGCGCCCGTTGTATTTTTCCCATTAAAAAAAACGTAAAATAGAGAGAAATCAACGCGGGAGGGAAACGTTTATGTGTGTACGACAACAACAAAAAAAAAAAAGGCGTTAATACACGCCGGCGCGTTCTTTTTAACACCTCCATGCAACTGTAGGTAGGTAAGTAAATTTTATGTGTGTACAATATAATAATGTTGTGTATTATATAATAACGCGCTTGTAACACGTATATATACACACATAATGCACAGCCGCGGTGTACTTATTGCTCACATGTACATGCGTGTGTTTTATAATTCTATTAACGCGTGCATTTTTTTCTACAGGCGTGAAAAGTAAGCAGCCCGACGCTATCCTCTTGGGCTCCGAGATGTGTTTTTTTCTCTCTCTCCCATTCAACACCAAAGATCATATACGCACACACGGCCGCCGTCGACTACATAAATGTATACTTAACGTAACACACGATTTACCGATTATGTGGACTATAAACGGACCAGTGAATCATCACCGCCGTTCATTCATGTGTGTGCCTGCGCGGAGGTCTCGGCACAACAATCGCGTAAAAAAATTTCATTGTGTACTGTACACCGACAGTTTTTTTGTGCGCTAGAAATGGCGCTAAAACGCCGCGGTATTTTCATTTCTAGTAGCCAAAAAACTATTCGTGTTGCCCGTAAAATGATTAATAACGGGTTTCGTGTTAGCACCGCAAAACGGTTACTTATTTATTTATATTGCATTGATGACATTACCTAATGTCATAATCATCGTACACTTTTGGTCAATTTCAAATCATTATGGTGTATTCTTTTGTTATTTAAATATAATTTAATTTTGTGTTTTTTTTTAAGCGCGAAACGCGCGCGCAAAAGAAAAATAACAATAACAGTAATGAAAACAATCACATGTGTTTATGAATTGCACAAATGTATTTCTAAAATAAGCAAAAACAATTTAACACTGATATTTTTCTTTAAATGGAGCGATTTCCATTGACCGAAATCCGCTCATTGATTAATAAAAAGTGTATGCAATTCTGTTACCACGATTTTAATCGGTGTACGATTCCTGGTCACGATAAATAAGTGCTAATGTTAAACGAAGGCCGGCGACATCAGATTATAATTGAATTACTAGGTTGGACATTTGTGTGGTTTCCATCGTAAAACCCTTGCTGTTGTACCTCGAAATACGGTTAGCCGTGCAGTTGATGCGATTCCTTTAGGCTTTACTCAGCAAATGCGATCACGTTTGCATTTTGAAAGGCGTTTTTCCGTGAATTTTCAGTGTTTGTAAGCAAGTTGAAGTGTCCGCGCGTTTAAACTAGTAAAATCATTTCAATATGGTCAAACTCGATTCTGGCCCTCTCGACCTCAACTCATTACCAAATTCAGGGGACCGTTTTACTCTTGGAAAATTATTAGGATCAGGAATTTGCAGTAACGTTTACGAAGCCATTGACTCTCAAACAGGTAAATGTTTGTCGTCGACCAAACAATTTCATCCAGCTTTTATAAATATTAAGTTCCACCACTGTTAAATTCGACTAAGAAACGGTAATTTATGCACAAGTGCAATGAACACTTGCTAATAATGACAAATTTAAAAAATATTTTTTTCAATATTGTTAGGATCATATGTATTCTGTATTGACTTGATCTTAATGTACGAGTTTATTTTTTGTCATTAATTACAAGTTATACATCACCAAATCAATACTAAACAAATTAAATTAGATTTTGCAATACTAAGGGTGACAATTTTCAACAGTCTTACAGTCATTATTATGTACATGTTCCCCTGCTAAAATTTAACATAATTTGTTATTATTAAAAGTTATTAGGTATGAGTAATGACATACCTATATTTATGACAGTAAATATTTTAATATCTATTCATGAGTGACAATAAAATAATTTTTAATTTGGCCAACCTTTAACTTTATAAATTAAGGGTTAAACATAAAATGGTCTTGTGTAAAATTTCTTTTGTAAAGTAACATAATCGTTATTAAAACATATACACATTCAAGAAAAATATTTAATTTAATACATCGATGTTTATAAAGATTGGCAAAAGTTTTTTTATCTTATAGCACGAATATCATTGAAAAAATGTTACCCAAAAAAGTGTCACTTAATTACTTAATCCACTTAACCTTTCAAATTAAAGGCTTTGATCTTATTTATTAGGCTCCACATTAAAGTTTTTATTAGGTGTTAAAGAAAAAATAATTAAGGGTTACTAAGGTTAATTAATTAAATAGGACAAAATGTGGCCGTAAAAATTCAAAATATGAAAGATATCTCAGATTTAGAAAAGGACATCAATGAAGAGTACCGGATTTTAAGAGATTTATCATCTCATCCTAATATGCCAGACTTCTATGGTGCTTATGGAAATAAAAGAGGAAATGAATTGTGGTTCGTTATGGAAGTAAGTTTTTACCAATATTATTTATATATTTCACCTGATCCACAAGTTCGAAACCATAACAGGATATATAGTTTAAAATAAAATTCTAAAAAAAAATAGTGACCAATTTTAAAGATGTAAAACATTTATGTCAAAAATACTTGTTTTATGTTAAATGTAATATTAATAATGATATTTGTTTAGTATATATTAATTTCATTAGAGTAATTTATTCATTTATAAATTACTCTAACTATAACATATCAATCATCTATTCTTGTAAAAATATAATAGTTGTCGATTTAATTATTCAAAATTTATTTACAGTTGTGTGAAGGTGGAACAATCGTTGACATCATTAATGGTCTTTTGCTTCAAAATAAAAAATTGAAAGAAAATCAAATTGGATACATACTAAGAGAACTCATTAAAGTAATATAAATTAAAAAAAAAATCAACGAGTACAAAAATATATGATCTTTTTTATTTTTAACCATAAATGAATTATTTACGATATCAGATTCTTTAAACGAGTTTTCATTATTTTTATACTTGGCAGGTGATTTGTTACTTGCACGAAAACAATGTAGTGCATAGAGACATTCGTGGATCGAACATACTCTTAACAAAAGATGGCCATGTTAAACTTGTAGACTTTGGACAATCAAGGTAATGACACATTTAATTAATTCAAAATTATTAATAGTAATATAAATATCAGATATCATGTACGATTCTATATATATTTATTAGTAAAACTTAAGTTTCCAGAAAAATATTGAATTATATATTACGGAACAGTTATCAAGTTATTCCTACTTGTTTTAATTGTGTGTATCTCTTTGTATCCAACTCTTTTGCCATACATATGTTTAACTAAAGATGATAATTATAAAAAAATTCTTTATTTAACGACTAGGTTATGGTGTGACATAATACATTTCTTGGGAACTTATTCACAATATTCCCATAATAACTCTCAAAATATTAATTTTTATAGTAAGACTTATAATAGTACAAGCAATGTTCAAATTGATTTTTTTACTGCGGGACATAAAGTTAAATCCAATTGTAAACCGATGATTGACTGTCTAACATGGCATGCTAACGTTTTAACTACTCAATAAAATTTCAACACTATAAATTATAATATAATTTTTTTAGAGGTTTTTTGCTTATAAACAAACGAATAGTTTTTAATTATAGAAAAGGCTATTTTATCTTTGAGGTAGTTAATTAATATTAATACTGTTCAAAAAGTATTGATTTTACTGATCATTTAAGTCGTATTTGATTATCACACACAAAAAATGTTTGCCAGGGAGTTGCAGAGTTCAGGATTCAAAACTAATACATGCATTGGCTCTCCAGCTTGGATGGCACCAGAAATAGTTTTAGCCGAGTACAAAGACAAATCTGAAGATTCACCTTGTTACGACAAAAAAATCGATGTTTGGGCAACAGGTAATATTATTAGCTGTTTATTTATTTTTTAGTTGAGAGTAAAATATATTTCATATTTAAACATATTTTAATGAAAAAAATTTATTGAAGTACAAGTATTACAGGATTTTGATAACATATCAAAATCTAGTATTGTATATATTATAATTCTGATATTTGTAAATGAACGTTTTGAGACCTACTCACTATAAATTCATTTGGATTAGTCTTGATCGAAATTGGATTAATTTAGTATTGTAATTGACTAAAAATATATCTTTGAAATTGTTTATACAATTACAGGAATAACTGCTATTGAGTTAGGTGATGGAAAACCTCCTTTTTTGGATATTCACCCCACAAGAGCCTTATTTCAAATCGCAAGAAATCCACCTCCTGGATTATTTAGGCCATCCAACTGGTCACAACTTTATAACGACTTTATTGCTGAGTAAGTTAAGGATAATTTTTATTTTCAGCTTATACAATGTAATTATCTGAAGAGTAAAAAATTTTTTAAAACTTCATACCTATAAGTTATAAGCCACTAAAATCAAAAATCAAAAAATTCATATCTAAATTCTCTGAGACTATAAAATAAAATATCATTTAAATATATGTTGAGAAAAAATTTGCCCTTAAAACTTTTTACAAATTACTTAATTCTAAAAAAATACCTACTTTAAAAACCACTGATATCTTAAAACCTATTATTTAAAAAAAAGAAAGAAACACGAATAAAAGCGAAATTATGTTTGAAAATATTTAAAAAAACTACAATAGAAATTATTATCAAAAAAAAAAAAAAATAATAACTACTTAAAACTTTCAATAAAAATTCTTTTATAAAAATTAGATCAATAATAAATATGAGTATATTACATTTTTGACTAGTTCTTAAAGTTCTTATAATTTTGCTGTTGTGTAGTTATAATTATCCGCTGAACAACATTTTATAAAATGGATAAGATTAGCAATACAAAACTACAAAGTTCTAAAACTCCAGTAGAAATTCTTGACACATTTAAAAGACTAAAATCAATTGATGAAGATAAGTGGGCTTAATTTTCTTTGTGTATGGATTACATTGACAGGAGATTTAGATAAAGTTTAAATAACTCTACTCAAACTAACTGTCACTGTTGTGTAATCAATTGGTATATATTTCCCATTTATTCTTAACGTTGAAGTGACAGTTGAAGTGAAAGGTAATTTTCTATTAAATCACCATATTATTTAGTTAAGACAATGAAAAACGTTTTTTTTTTTTTTTGTAATTAACATATTTATTATTATTATTTTAGAAACTGCGCGTTATACAATTATTATACACTTCATAATACAACGATTTTGAATTTTAGAATATTGTAATTAATTTAAAACTTATTTTAGTACTATTCTAAAATTTCTACTGAGAAATTTGGGATCAGTAAAGTAAAGCTTATGTACTTAAGGGGTGCATTGTTTTGTAGATGTTTAGAAAAAAACCCTGATCATCGCCCCTTTGCCGAAGAACTATTGGAACATCCTTTCATATCAGAAGTGTCAGACAACGTAAGTTCACTAGATGGAAAATATATTTTTATGTACATCGAATAAGTGTTGAATGGTTTACAGACACGCCTCGAAATAAAATCAATTATGGAATCTATTGTAGACGACGTATCGTCCATAAGAAAACCGGAAGTGAGAATTATCAAGAACGGATACCTGAAAGTAAGACGTTATTTTAATTACCTGAATTTTATTCTACCCTTTTAAAAGATGAAAGTATTTTTATGATCATTATAAATACACTATTAAACAATTTCAAAATGATCTGAGTGTATAGAGGCAAGACCGATGATTACATTAGGTCGTACACAACTTGCGATGAGCTGATCTGGTGTATTATTATAGAAGGTTAGTTAGACACTCTGAGCGAGAACAATGTGTTTTAAATTAAATGTTTAGTGATTATTCATCCGTTGTTAATTATATAATGAATACTTTCATTGTTACCCTAGCTGTCGGAAACCTGTAATTATACTATCTATTTACGGCGAGGCGTTCAGTTTTTAATTTATTCGATCCCATTTAGTACACCGAGTCTTCTATCAATTACTAACGTTTTATTAATTCTCAACGTTAAACATAATTGAATCCTCTACGTGTTGAATAGAAAATTATTGTAATAACAATATCGTAAAACAAAGGTTCTATTGCAATAAAATGTATTGGATAGGCAATGTTATTTTTCAGAAGATAAATTCATCGGCATAGGAAAAAATTTTAATAAATTTTTTTTCCATTTAAATTATGATTTAGTTTAGAAACGATATGAATAAACGATTTTGCATTACAGACCGGTCGAACGGAACCGGCGAGGCCTATGCATTTCGAGGATTTAGCTGCTTTAAAAGAAGTGTCCGAAGAGTCTGTACTTCGAGAACTTCAAAATCGTCACTCGAACGGTCAAAATTATACGTTTGTCGGTGACGTGTTGTTATACCTTAACCCCAATGTGGACAATGTTACTTGCGAAAAAAAGGTATACTTAATTATGTTTTTAGCCTATGATTCAAACATAGATTACCAAGCCAAGCGTTGAATATTTTTCAAAAGGAGTTCTGTAGAATTTAATTTTGTGTTTCAGAACCACTACCGTTATCAGAATAAATGTCGTAGTGATAACGAACCGCACATATTCAGCGTGGCTGATGCGGCTTATCAAGACATGTTACACCACGAACAACCCCAGTGCATAATAATGGCTGGCGAAACAAAGTCTGGAAAAACATTTAACTATAGCAAACTCATCGAACACTTGATATTCCTCGGAGAAGTATGTCCAAGTATTTAAAAAAAAATACATTTTTAAACTATCAATTATTTAAAAAACGCAGCAAAGTCACGGCAAAGTCAACCAAATTGGTCTGAAAATCAAAAGTGCCATTGATGTGATCCAATCTTTTGGAAATGCTGCAAACAAGTATCACATGAACTCCACAAGATATGTGAACCACACTCAAGTCACGTATTCATCAACCGGAAAACTAAGCGGCGCAATATTTTTCGTCTATCAGCTGGAAAAATGGCGAGTAACAAACGTCAGGTAAGATTGTGGGAAATTCGTCAGATTTTATTTTATTATTAAAATATAACAAATCCAACTGTTGAAATTACGATCTACCGGTATAAGAAGAAAAGATATAACTGCTAACAGTCTTAGGTCTTTAACACGTTTTACTTAATATTTTACTAACGTTTCTTGGTTTGTTACACCGCAGTTATTTTATTTATGATAATGTTTTTATGACCCAGATTTTTATAATATAACTTAACATTTGGATATGTTTGGGGTCGTAAAAATAATTTTTTTATTGTTTTAACGTACAGAAATGAAGATCAACAAAACTTTCATATATTTTATGACTTCTTAGCCGCTGCTAAATTAGACGAGATGCTCGAAAAATACCATCTGGACAAAAGTTGTAAATATCGTTATTTGTCAAGTAACAAAGAGTCGATCGTTTACGGGCAAGGTGCAAAAGTGAGCAATTTCAACAAGTTACTTGTCTGCCTGAAGGATGCGCTCGAGTTCACTGACGATCAAGTCAATACCTTGTGGAGAGTTTTGGCCGCCATACTGAACTTGGGCGAATTAAAAATAATCAAAGATGAGGACGACGGTGAAGTCAAAATTGAAAACAGCGATCTAATCCCGAATGGTATAGGATTTCTGAAATTACTTATCTTATAAATCAATAAAAATAAAAACAAATTAAAATATTGTCGTATAATGTCTATAAATAACGATATAAAGATGGAAGTTTTAAAAAAAATAGCATCTCAAAACATCGATTATATTTAAATAGTTATTAAGTGTATATTTTTTTGTTCAGTTGCCGATCTACTCGGAGTAGATGCCAAAAAACTTGCATGGTGTCTTTTTAACTACTGTGTGGTAGTGAATGGAGCGGCTGTTCGTCGCAAGCACACAGTAACATCAGCTTCTGAGTGCATCAAAGTGTTTGCTCAGACTCTGTACGCTCGGCTGTTTGATTGGATTGTTAATGTGATCAACATGAAGTTAGCATTTAGCAGGGCGATTTTGTGAGTTCCATTCAGTTACACTAATAATTTAAACAATCGGCAATTTATGCAAAAATTGGTATTTTCAATATGGTCGAATACGTCTTAAAATTAAAAAGTTATAACTTTTAGTGGAGACAGGCACGTCGTTTGTCTGATGGACATGTTCGGATTTGAGTGTTTCCGTCAAAACAATTTGGAGCAACTGTTTGTTAATTGCCTAAACGAACAAATGCAATATCATTTTATTCAAAAAACGTTTACATGGGAACTGGTAAGCATTTTCATAAAAAATGTGTTTTAATAGTGAAAAACTATACAATTTTTCCTCGGGCGATTTGTACAGTATAAATATATAATAATTAACTTGAAAATAATTTGACAACCTCAACTTAGATAAAAAAACTTAATCATTAATCATTTCATTTTGTAGACATTAAAATTTTACTGATATTCTATTTTTGAGCAGCAAGACATGGACGACGAACGCATAGAATCGTATGGTTTTCAATATCTGAATAATAAACCAATTATCGATGCGCTTATGAATAATCCAGAAGGAATATTTTATGTGTTCGATGAAGCCGCCAAAAATTGTCAGGATTACACTTATATAACAAGTAAGCTTAATGATTGTTTATAATTCCATGATTTATAAAAACAAAATAATTATTTGAGGTATATACACATAATATATACGTACATATTATACATGTATATATACATTTATAGAACCCTTACATAAACAGTGAACAAAATTAATTTCTACCAGGAAAAACAAAGGTATGGATATTGCAACATTTTAAACTTTATTTATTGGTAAAACGAGGTCAAATTTAATTGAATGGTTATAAATATTCAAATCAATTGTGAAATTACAAATCATAATAAATTAGAAGTAATTTTGAATTATGTAACAAAAATTGTAATTAAATAATTAGTTTTCATTAAGTATTTTAATCATTTTGTGATTATTTCCGAAAAACTGACGAGTCAATATCATCAATTGTTAAAAAAAAAAAAACAGATAATTAGTTTACATGTTAAAATGTAGTAAAAGAAAACTTATATTTTTAGAGTATAATAAAAAAATTATTCATTTTAAATGCCAGTAAAATAAAAATAAAAAGAGAAAACTTAATCCTATCTGCTCGTAGATGCTTGATACGTTAATAAATGTTGTTTATTCACATTTATTATTTACTAAAAGTACTTATTTATAGAAATCAATAAATTAAATACATAAATTCAGTTAATTAAGTATTTTAATCAGTTAAAGATTAATAATATGAATTTTCGCACAAATTATAGGAAATATCCAGTGGCGTATTAAGGGTTTTAGTATTTTTGGGCAGCTTGTATCGAATACTGCCCTATAATTTTTTGTTGAGCAAACAATAGTAATTTTTTTAGCTTATTTAAAAGAAATGTTTAACTCAAAAATCTTAAAATATGTATAAATGCAAGAACGTTAACTATGAATAACATAACATTAAATATAATTTATTCCAAGTTTTATTGGGTACATCGACTATGACGCCCCAAAAATTTACAGGGTGCCCTTTTCATTGCGTCCCGGGGTAGCTGCTCCAGATGTAGACACACCATTGGAAATATTTCTAACATTTTGCCCTCAAAAGAGAATGCAAAATAGTTTTTAGACTAGAATTTAGTTGGTAATTACATGTTTATGGGCTAAAACAAGGGTTTTTATTAACAATTCTCGCAATCATAAAGTATTTTCTAATTGTTTTTTAGACGAGTTGGAGAAAAATCCTAAAGAACCCTATGTTCAAATAGTGGATTCGAAAAGCTTTAGCGTAGCTCATTACAGTGGTTTGATTACTTATCAACTAAAAGACTTAATCGAGAAAAACCGCGATTTCTTGACTCCTGAGGTGATTGAGACGATACGCGGGTCTAAGGATAGTACGTTAAAAGAACTGTTCACGAACCGCCTGACAAAATGTGGCAACTTGACAGCAAGCAGAGAACGGTCTCGGCAGATTGTAAAACCGCCATTGAATAAAATTAGCCGCTGGGGTGTAGCGCTTGTAGCTGAAAAATATCCTATACGGGTAGGTAATACCTATTAGGTATCCGATTGGACTCTTAACGTTCAACGATGGCCTTAAGTAAATAATAGTTACCATGATGACAAGTGTCATTTCCAATGTTTTTATCGGAAAAGTTAAATATTTTTCATGGTTGCAGTTTCAATAATAGCAACTGAGGTTTTGATTTATATTTTAAAGAGTAATAGATTTTTAAATAATGACTATTCATTTGTCGATTGACAGAAATACAACACTGAATCTCGAGGTGAATACTCTCAAACGCATAAAATCCGTACGGCATCAGCAGTTTACCGAGCAAGTAGCGTGGAAATCTTAAGATCTCTCGTGGACACGACCGACCAAAAGAATGGCATACATTTCGTAAGGTGTATACGAACTACGTTGACCGACGAACCATTGAGTTTCCAGCCAGAAGTGGTTAGACAGCAACTAAAAGCATTGTCCGTAGTCGAGACTGTATTGGCCCGACAAAATGGTTATTCTTGCAGAGTATCGTTCAACGAATTCATCCAGAGGTGAATAAAAACAGTGATAATTTACAATTTTCTCGAGTTTGACCACCGAGTTTTATCAAATAGATACAAATTTTTGGCTTTTGATTTCTACGAGAACGTCGAAGAGACTAGAGAAAATTGTCGTTTGTTGTTAATCCGTTTGAAAATGGAAGGTTGGAAAATTGGAAAAACTAAAGTATTCTTAAAGTACTATCATGAAGAATATCTTTCCAGGTTAATGACTTTATAGGATTTTATCGAATGATTTATCAATAATAACTTAAATTTGTAGATTGTATGAGATTCAAGTGAAAAAAGTAATCAAAGTTCAATCTATGCTTCGATCTTTTATCACTAAACGGAAAATTGCACCGCAATTGGCTAAACAGCAATCCGGTAATGACGAAAATTATTAATTATAAGACAACTTTTATAGCATTCCTATTGGTTACTTATATTTTTTAACGTTCTTTGTAAGACAAACATATTTATTATTAAAACGATCAATAGATTTAAGAGAGATATTTGTTTGAAATTTAGAACTATAAAAAGTATTGGAAAAATATCATTATTCAAATCGGTTACAAATGATAAATTTTATTGTGTTTATTATAAGCCGAATAGTTTAACTTAAGAAATTTAATATTTAATCTAATTAAGATTGATTGCAAATTAAGTTTCAATAAATAATTGCAATAAAAGAGTTGTTTGTATAGAATTATTCTCTAGCTATTAGTTAATTAGTCTAGTTTTAAGTAACGATTTCCTTAACAAGTTCTTAAAATGTGATAATAAAAATATAAAATGACATTTATCACATCGATATCTCTGTTTAATTATATTCTAACAACTTTGAGTCTTTTTGCCTCGGACTGCTCGATTTATGTTTATCTTAAACTAAAATGAATTTGTTTATGTTTTGTAAATTATCGAAACAGGTTTATTGATTAATCAAAACGAGTTCTATTAGGTTAGTTTGTTTTAAGTCGTTGTTGTACATTTAAGTATGTTATAGACCAAACTAATTAATTTCAACAGCCACTTGCATAGCCCATACGAAAACAATGGCGTATATTTAAGGTTTTGACGAGCACACGTCTCCCCCCCCCCGTCGTAACGCTTTGTGTGGCTCGAGGGGGTTCATTAAAACCGTAGACGTGTAATTTGCATTAGCGTATGTGACTCCCGTCGGCATCACGAGGGGGTGCGCAAAATGTCATCACGTTGTGCACCGTACGGACCTTTTCCTATTTTAATTGCGTTCTTTTGATCTCCCTCGACGGACATCAAAGCAACTACACTTCCCCACCGCCTTCACTTATGGTGCATAGGTAGTGCAACCATAATACGTTAGAAGTAGTAGAGCTGCAGGGCACCTGCATGTGATGGAGGAAAAACTCTCCGATTTCAAGCGGATTACCCGGTCGACGACAAAAGAGTTCAAATATTAACCCTTGAGGCGGTTTGGTGTTGTTTGTGTGTTTTTGTATTTTTAGGCGAAAAACTTTTCTCCGTTTCAAAATCTGAGAACCGACAAACATGTTTACGACGAATTAAATATTGAATTTGTCGCACGGGAAACAAATAACGACGACAGAATGTTCAATAGTGAAATGTCACTGGCGTTCAACATGACACGGCCAATATTAAAGAGGTGCTTGAAATTTACAATTTACTGATATTAAAGTTGAACAAGTTTTATTAGAACTTTCTCGACCTCTTAGAACCGTAAACGATTCAATGCGAACAAATAATATTTTCATTTTTCGGTATCTCAGATTTTGATTCATATGAAACGTTTTTTTTTTTTACTCTCTCCGTCTACAAATTGAAATCTGCCGGGTCGAGAAAGTGTTTTAATTAGTTACTAATTTTATTAGATAAAAACGTGTTAAATATATATTTTCCATGATATTTTATTTCATTTACGTTGAAACTATTTGTAAATATTAATTTTTATACAACATCATGAATATCGTCGTTCTAATTCAAAAGTTTCCATTTATTTTATTTTTCGATTATTATTTGTTTAGTAAAAAAAAATTAACGCGTTTAAAATTTTTTCAATTCATTAAATATTACAAAAACATGATTTAAGAAAACTGTATCAATTGTTAATTCACTAATATTAATTCATTAAATATTTTTCTTCTGTAAAATTTACTATTTTAGACATAAAACCTTTGACTAGCGAATAAGTAAAAAATTTCTATAAATTTATACATTCTATACTTTTTTTAGAAATAATATTTTGCGTAATTGTTTTTGAAGACCTTGAGTTAAGATTTTCTGATCAATATATATCTTATCATGTTTAAAGAATTTAAAATTATGGGAAAAAAATGTTCTTTTTTAGTAGTAACTCTTTTAGTTTTAAGATAATTACTTTGTTTGCTTTTGCAGGTGCGATTGAATCAAAAACAAAATCAAAAGCTGTAGAACACACTTTATCAGAAGAGAATGCCGCCATTGTTATACAAAAACGTGAGTTTATCATAAAACTATTCAGTAGCTGCAAATCTTTGCCTTCGGTTAGATTTTAATTGTTTTCTAATCATAAATTTAACTTATATAAAAATAACAGTCAATAAATGGAATACATATTACTAAACTATAGATTAATTAGTAATAAAAATGTATTTCAGATTATCAAGGATACATGGTCAGAAAAAATTTAGCAGAAAATAGTCTGTATACATTTTTTACTAAATAATGATTTTTTCTTGTGTTATAACATTAACAGTAATGCATATAATTTTTAGATCAACTTAATTCGGAAACTAGAAAAAAATTGAGAGCATTTTGTAAGAAATGGAAAGGCAAATCTATTTACCAAGTTTTGCTATTAGATCGTGCAAATAAACTTCAAGAAGTCGTATATTTTTCTTTTCATGTAAGTTAACAATTATACTTGTCTATAATAATTAGTTAAACTTACATTTTTAGGTTTATCGAGAAAATTATTTGTTTAAGGTCCATTTGTATAATCAACACGTGTTAGCTACTCTTAATAATACTAACCAAGGACCAGTTAAACTAGGAAAAATCATTACTACAACAAACGTAATCGATTTCTTAGGCGTTAAAAAGTGTTACCCGTTTAAAGTTCCGTTCAAATTGGATCACATTACAGTTAATAAGCGTCATAAGTTCGATTTCGAAATGCAAGTACAAACATTTTGTCGTCTTCTCACTATTACTCAATGATAACTATCAGGGGGGTGATATGGGATATTAAACGATAGTAGTAGTATATTAAATGTATATATTTTCTTCATTTTCTCTTTTGAGTGATATTAAAAAAATCGTATTTTTATATTTGTATAATATATACATAAACATTATAAATGTTGGTTGATTCAGAGATAATAGTATCGATGAAAGCAATTGGGATAGTCCTTTAAATCGGTTTCCGGAAACTCGAACCGCTTTTAGAATTTTAAAATTCTCATTCGCTGTTAGAGGTAATTATAAATACCGTTTATCATTTTTTAAACTAAGTTGGTATAATAAATATTTGTATAATCTCATATTATGATATATGCAATTTATTAGATCAAAGCACACAAGTAGACATAGGAGGAAAAATGGATGGCACTGACTATGTTGAGATTAACAACCATTTAAAATTTGGCATTGGTCGTATAGAGGTAAATGAAATTATAAAGATGATATTTTAAAAAAGACTTTCTGGAAATATATGCTTATTATTTTATGATTCGCTAAAAATTTGAAAAAAAACTACGCTCTCTTATTGAAAAATATATTTTTATTTAGGATAACAAAAAAAGAGATGAAATGAAATCCAAAAGAAATGCTTTAGTATTAGATTATGATAACCGTAAGACATTAGTGGATCGCAAAGATGGCAATGCAGATTTAAAATTTAATCAAAAATCTATCAAGTAATAATTAGTAAAATTACACATTTTTAAAACTCCTCGAAAGAAATCAAAACAATATCTAAATATTATTAATTTTAGTAAATATAATTTTCAAGTATCTTAAAATATAAAACTTTATGGTGCTGACAAAACGGGATATAGTACTTTTTAAGCCAATGATTTAGATGAGCCTAATTAATTACTGAACGGTTATAATCGTGAAATAAGGAGTAAGCTTAGGTTAGGGATTCGCCCACTTCCTGACGATAATAATTTCACGTTTGGGATATAATTTAGGATAGATGTAGTACAATTTTTAAGTTTGTACATTCCCATGTGAAAAAATCCTAAGCACATCTATCATCAGTTTTATATTAAATTTATGCTTAGACAAGATAAAAAAAACTTGTTTTTATAACCTTAACAAACAAATTTTATTGTTCACACGATGCCAGTGTTAGAACAAAAACGTGACTTAATGTCGCGACACTAGTGCCATTATATATATACGACCCAACTGCCAATGACATACAAAACATAGTTCCCCGGCATCAGTGTCATCATGTGAACTAGGTTTAATGTAAACACGCGATTGGATCCCTCAACCATAAGATGCACTAGGCCACCATGAGCGTGTGGCATCTTGATAAGACGTTGTGGTACATCTATTCATGTTGCACCATGGTGCAGTATAGCATTTTCGGTCACGATTAGAATACCGTAATTTATCTAAAGATCAGGTGGTACAGAGTTGAGACATAAAAATTTTGTACCAGGAACTCATGAGAATCATCAACAGCCATCACCATTATCCGGATCACCTTTGATTATGTCACTTGACCATCTCTAACGAGACACTGGACACCATATCGAGACACCCAACACATGATCACATTAACGCATTAATTCTTATGAATTCCTGGTACTAATTTTGGTATATGTTAGAAAATAACGTTACCAATCTTAAATATATAAATATTTATATATATTTAAAATAAAATACGGAAACTTAATTTTGATCGAAATGTATAAAAAAATAGTTATACGCATAAATACAATTATATAAACAAATGGTAGGCGTACGTCAATGTGGAGATAATCTAGAATACTGTTTGTATTCTTTCTGTGTTTTCAATTTTTACTTAGATAGTTAAACATTTATTTACACTGTAATATTGAGAGTTTATCCATGGGGTCAAATCCTTCGAAACCCCTCCCTCTAATTTTTTTTTATTTTCAACACTTTATTACATACATACTTGAATCCCTCCTGAAAAAATATTCTAGATACGGCACTAGTGTAAAAGCTTACTTAACAACAAGTAAAAATAAAAATTAAGTAAAAATTATTTATGAAACTACTTAGAATTTTTTACAAATAATTAACCACGTATCAAACAGTATAATATTAAATCTAAGTTATGTGTATATATTTTTAGAAAATCGGAAAGAATTAATCCTGTATTAGAAATGCAGTTTAAAGGTAAACAGTTTCAATCAGTAAATGAGGATCAAAATGACGCACCTTACAATTTTCAGGTTAGGACAGTTATAATTTTCATTTGAAATTTTTAAACAACGATACAATTTTATGACATTTTGTAAAATTTACAATAAAACTATTCAAAACAGTACAATAGATAAACATTAACATGATGAGTATAGCTGTAGTATGAAAACCGAATTTAAGTTCGTGAAAAATAACTATCGATACATAATTAGTTGTTATACATAGGTGTCAGGTGTGGGGGATAAGAAGTCTTAGCCTCCCTCCAGAAATGTACAAAAATTATATGTATTATAATATAGAAATTATTTTTTAGAAAAAAGAAATTAAATTTAGGCCTCTCCAAAAAATGTAACTACCCTACGCCTCGACTATCGCATTACTTATAGTATATGGTTTAGTTTAAATTTTAATAAAAAATTTTGAGCAATATAATAAAATCATAAATTAAGAAAACGGTAAAAAAATTAGTCTAAACCACACTTAAAACTTTGTTAAGAAAAAAATTTAATACTCAAACAAATTGAACTGACATAAAAAAGCCTATTTGAAAATAAACAATTAAACAACAGAAGTTAATTATTTTTGTTATATTTACTTTTATAGCATTGTAATGGTGTGATATTCCTATTAAAATAGATGATAAAAAAAGAAAGAAAGTTTTAAAACTGAAATTATAATTTTTCACAAATCATTGATAAATGGAGTATTTTTTTGTTTGGAAAAGCAGTCTTCTTTCTATTAATATACTTATTGAATGGACATTAAAAGTTGTAAAAATCCTAACTGAAAATATATATAATTATTACTTCAATATTATTTATTTTTGTAAAATGAGAGGTGTTCAATGAGGGTACTTAACTCCTTCTCCTATATTCCTGTACTGTTTAAGATAAAGTATACACATAAATAATTAAACAAATAAAATTGTAGAAAACTAACGATAATTTTAACACAAAAATAATATATTGATAATATATTATAAAATAATATATTTAATAATATATTTTATACTATATAAATATAGTCTAACGAATTAAAGACTAGTTGTCAAGAGACATTTTCTTTTTTAACTTATAGTATATAACATAAGCTTTAATTTAACATATGTTTAAAGGAAGCAGTATTTCCGAAACATTTTTAAAAGTTGAGTTAAAAAAGTTAACTTTATGTTCAAAAATTGCTAAAATTATTTTAACCTGTATTATTCAGCATAAATTTTGATTACTTTATTCCTATGCGTTTGTGTAGCTATTTTGCCTATTCTTAGCGCCTCGTTAATTATAAAAATTTTACTAAAGCTTCAGTCTTCAGTAACTAAATAACTTTTTACAAAAACAATTGTTTTTATTAAAATAATTATTGTTTTCTTAAAAATAATTTCTAGGCTATGTTGAAAAAGACCAATCATCATAGGTCTTCTTTAGATGGTCATGGAAACTTAGAGTATGCATCGTCTGCAGTTGGTATAATATCTAGAAATACTAATAGTCCATCAACAAATAACTATCAACAATCTAAACAAATGAAAAATGAACAAAATCAAAGGTTAACGGATATATCATCAATCAAAGCAGAATTAGTACCCGGAGTCATTATAGAAGGATCCTCTTATGATCTTTAAAATATCACAATTTCTACTATTTTTATTAATTTATATAGCCACATTGTTTGTATATTGAGATATATCACTATTATGATATTAAAAAATTAGAAATACTTAAATGATTTCTACACTCAGATACTTTTTGTTGTTAGTTTTTTGGTAAAAAATGTAAAAACTCCTTACTTATAGTTCATTTAATTACAATATAATCACAAATATAGTAAATATTAAGTATATTTTTAATGTATGTTTAAAAAATCAAAACACCAAAAATAATAAAATTCAAAATTAAAAAAAATTGTTATGATTATGAATTCAATTTAGTAATTTGAGGTAGCTTGAACTTATATTAGAATAAAATTGAGGTTGTGAAGTTTGTAAATCATACCCTTATGAATATTATTAAAAAAAAATAATAAATGTTTAATGAGAAAGTATTTTCTTTTCAAAGAAAAAAAGTATTTATTTCTATAAAAATTTTATTGAAACTATTTGTTAGTAAAATACTGTATGTAATTGTATTAACAGAATAAACAAATGAACTTTTGGAAAATAACTGAACAATTGCTTTTCAAGTAGTAAAGAATAGAACATGATTAGTTATAAATAAATCTAATTAATATTTCATATAAGTATTTTGAAAATTTCATAGAGTTCAAAACCATTTTGATTACATTAAACAAAGAATGTAACTAACAATACATTATTAAAAAAAAGAAAGTTTATAAATTGTAAGTTAAAAAATAATCACATGAGATCTATCATCATACTACTTTATTATAGTTCTATACCTAATAGTAAATAAAAATATTTTAACAAATAGTTAACAACATAATAGTAATATAATAATATGAAAATTGGTAAAATTATAGGTAATAAATAATAATAATTATAAAAATGACAAAGGTTTAACAGTGTTCTACAATAATAATAATCAAATAAAATATCATACCAATAACTCAAAATATTTTTAGTAACCAAAAAGTTTATAAATTAAAAGTGGGTATACACTTATTAAACAATATTAATGTATACATCGGTAACATTTAACTAAATATGGTTATATTTTCGGACATTTCTAAAAGTTTCATTTATGGTTAGGAAGTAATTAGATATTTTAGTTGTAACATATAACATATTGTCTTTTATATTATTAAATAGAAGCATTACAATGTTTTAAAATAATTTCTTTTATGATTAATAATTTTCTTTAAATTAAAAAATTATTATTTAATTTAAATAACAAACGTTCTTTCTAAACCATCAGACATAAATCTTACACTGCGATTATTCACCCAATGTAACTTGATCTGTCGCCACTGACTAGAACGTGTTGGGTCTTGTATTTCAGTGCTATATGATTTGGTACATTTAGTTTGGCTATTACCAAGACCAAATATACCAGTAGATGTCTGCCAGAAAGATAATTTATTTTCGGCAGCACTATATGATACAAGAAATTTTCCATCCGGTGAAAAAGCACAAGCACTTATAACTGCACTATGAGCATTAATAGTCTGAAAATTATTTTACAATAATGGTGTATATTAATTTTTAAAAATATTATTCAAATATTTCAGTTTAAGTTTTGATAACTATTTCATAAAACTACCTGGCATTTAGAAGATCTCAGTTCATACAACGCTATTGTTCCAGTCTTGGTACCAACTGCAATACGTCTAGATGTAGAACAATGAGTGACTTGACTAAATCTACTAATAGCAGGGAAAACCTCTGACAAACTACGTGTTTTTAACTGAGTAGGATCAACACAATGCAATATTATATCCATTACCTAAAAATAAACCAGTCATTATAAAATATAGTACAATAATTAAACAAAGGAACACTATAAATTGCTGTTTTATTATTATTTTTAACAACTTATGAAAATCATATTTTACAAAAACTGAAATATATTTTGGTACTATTTTTTCTATACATACAGAGTGATTCCATATGTTCTGATAAATTTCAAAAATTATGATTTAGTAATCATTTTTTAGCACTTAAAAAAAATTATACATATTTAAATAAAAAAAATTGATTTTTAATTTAATAATCTACTATTTATTTTGACTAGATATAAAGTAATACTTAAGAGATCTTATTATTTATTAATATTATTAGAAAGATAATAATATTAATATACAGAGTTACTGGTTTATTATAAACAATTAGATTACTCTCAAAATAAATACAATATTGGAACATTTTTTTTTGATTTTTCATAGTTACATATATTTCATGATTTATCAGGAAATAATTACTTTATGAAATCATTCTTTATGATTTATAGGAGTATCAACTTATTATTTAAAATGGCAACATACATATTTATTTACCTATAAAATAAAAAATAATCTAATTAAGAAAATGACTGATTGATAATAAATTTCGGACCATTAGTTTAGCAGTTATTAACACTTTAAAAAGTAATGACTGGAGGTGAGTAGTCTGTGCTGCTATTTTTATCATTAGTATATTATTTTACAGTCATTTTCTGACTGTACTCTTTGTCACACCTTTGTATCAAAATGAAAATAACTTTTAAAGTACTAGTCCAAAAGTTGTTATCGACCAGTCATTTTCTTAATTAAATTATAATCTATAATATATTTTATTATATTATAATATTATTATTTTAAATAATAAGTTGATACTCTTATAAGTTATAAGAGATGATTCCATAAAGTAATAATTAGCTGATAAATCAAGAAATATACATAACTAAAAGAAATCAAAATTTTTTTTTCCAATATTGTATTTATTTTGAGAGTAATCTAATTGTTTATAATAACCATGTCACCTTTTACGTGATGTTAATTTCAATTAAGTACTCATTCAGGCAATAATAATTTTCATAGAGAAAATTAGGTTTACAACTAATTTTTAGTAAGAACAGATTGTTTTCTCTTCTATCCATTTCATAATTTTAATAATTCAAAAAATCTCTAATAATTTAGTTTTAACTTGATTTTCACTTAACAAAGTTTTTTTTATTGCTATTCTTTGTAACAAGAATTTATTAGTATTCTATTGGTAAGGCAAGTAATAATAGTCTAAAAAAGCTAAATACTCGTACTTCAACCAATAAGTCAGCCATTTCAAGGTGCATTTTTTCAATTAAATGTTCCATAATATGAAGTATTTCAGGTTTAGCTCTATGTAATACTGAATTGCTCAGTGCTGTATTCATGGCCTGTGTATTTTGTTGTATGCTATTATAACGAGCCACCTAAATTATTTTTAGTAAATTTGATTATTTAAAAAAAATGTAATTCAACCAAATAACTATACTTCTCTAGCTATTGTGATGATAAATACTGCAGGACGGACATTTGAAATCAATATCAAAGCATGTCGTGCTGTCCTGCAGGAATCTGCAGCTGGAGTTAAAGGTAATCCATATGACATACTATAAAAATAATGAATAAAATTGCACAAATTGAAGATTTTAAGACTAGAATTAGAAAATTTTACCTAGGAACTAGCTTATCAGTATCACAACATAATTCTAAAATTCCTAACAATACTTTGCTGACATCAAAGTATGGTTCCCACACAGCAAATCCTCGACCAATTAAATCTACAGCAGCCCTACGCAATGCCATATGTGCTGGTAACTTTAGTGTTGAAGGTGCCAAAAGTAGTTGAGTTAGAGCCAAACCTTAAAAAATAAAAAAACAGTATTTTCAAGTTAAATTCAAAATAACATGGTTAATTGTACTTGTAAGTCTTGATAAATTATTGTTTCCAATGCCAAAACCTTCAACAATTGAACTTTTTCTCCTTATATCTTCTGGGCGTTTATTTAATGTGATGGATTGTGATCTATTTAATAAAGTTCCAGAATCTGTTGCACTAACTTCTTGACCAAATTCAGCTCCCATTACACCCATAAGAATTACTGCAGTGGTTTGTTTTCGACGCAATTCACTAACTGATGATGGTTTTCTTAAACATAAATCTATAAAATATTTGTTTTTTATGTAGGATTTAGTTCTATACATATAATCAAGAATTTATTATAAACCTTCAAGGCCATCTTCTTCATCATCTTCTTCATCATCTTGAGTATTAATAACTGGTTCAATATTATCCTAAAAATTTAGTCCCAATTGTTTTAGCAAAATATTTAATATTATAATTAAATAAAAACAATAGCTTGATAATTATATTTTAAATTATCTAATGAAAATTTTATATAAATGCAACGAATACTTTTAATTCATTAAAGAACACATTGAAATAACAGTTAACTAAGAAAAAAATTATCAAATTTAAGTATATACACTTTATTATGATCATTTTTTTTATAAATTATTAAAATTAATGAATAAAAATGCAATAGTTGTAGTTTTATATAAAATTAATTTCAACATATTTTTAATTACAAAAAAAAAAACTGTAAATCAAAAAAGAAAGTTACTTGGTTAAATTTTTAATTCTCTCAGCAAAAAACAGATTGTCCCCAAATGACTGGGAAAATTTTCAGTTAAAAACTTAAGATATAAAATTAATTTCCTTTTAGTTTTTTTTATATGCATACTTTTATATTAATAGAATTTTCAGAAAAAAAAAAAAAAAAGAAGTATTAAAAAAATATATTTAAGATTCACAATTAAGAATATATGACATTGATTACAATAAAGACAATCATAAGAGATATAACAAATAAATCTTATTTCATATAAAAATAAAATGATAAAACTAGTTTAAATCATGAGATATTTTATAAAAAACATTATTTTATTTTTCAGTTATCAAGAAGAAAGTTAGTCTTTAACTGTACTTTAAACTTACATTAGCTGTTAGATTAGTTAGATTGTTATAACTAGCAGCAGCAGATTGCATGCCACCCATAGAGTTGCTTACTGGTAAATATTGAACCCAAAATTCAACTAGTGTTTTACGACCTTTAGGACCAATTCTTTCAAGTTCAGCTAATAACAATCCTTGAGCTGCTTCCCGTACCTATTAGGTACAGTAAATATTCTTTAAAAGTAATATTCTAAATTTTGTTCTTTTTTTTGACACTTAGGCTATAATTTACCTCAAGACAATGGTGCTGCCAGCGATGTGCTAACATTTCTATTTGAATACGTTTAAAATTTTTTGATCCGTGGGCAACAACTTTTTCAGGCAAAGAAACACAATGTAAGGTTTTTAGCTGAGACCATCCCTGTTTAATTTGTGTAACTTGGGAACTATTTTGATCACTACTACATTCATCAGAACGATTTTTTATTGATAATTGTCTAAAAATAAAGAAATGCAAAAGTTTACAAATACTAAAAAAGATATCCTTTACATAAAATAATATTCAGCAATATTAGCTATTATGAACTATGTAAAATATACTGGAATATTTTATAACAATTTAAATATTTTTGTTTTAGATATATATATAATTCATATATAATAAATTAATAGAAAAATATAAGTAGATGAGTGCTTACAAGTTAAATATTTACCTATTTTTCAATTAATATAATAAATCCTTTTAAATATTTTATTACATTATTAAGAGTAAATAAAACATCCCATATTAACTCTAGTTAATAATTAAAAAAAGCAAAATATTAATAATATTTATTGACAAATATAACATTTCTTCAGACATAATAGGGTATCCACTTAAAAAAATTAACTATTTATTAATTATTTAAAATTAAAGATATTAAAATTTCATTAATAATTATCTTGGTATAATTATCTATGGAATAATAAGGCTTTATCTAATTATTTGTACTAACACTAATTATTTAATACATGTTTAGTTAAAAATAATTTTTTAATACTCAGCTTTACATTTTTATATATTTCAAAACAATTTTTTTTGGATTAGATATAATCAATAAAGAAATCTATTTTTTGAAATTAATTTTTTTATCTCAACTTCCACCTACAGAATTTATTGTCTAATTAATTTTAATAGCAAATCGCAAATAAAAAAATTGAATAAATACCTAGAAAATGAATTTTCAAGAAAACAAGGAGAACTCATTGACATCAAAGTGTTGGCAATAGCTACTATAGCTAATAAATGCTGACTGGTTACTGTAGTGCTCACTTCCCAGTGAGTTCTGGCAGTAAACAATCTAGTTAGTAATTCTAACTGGACCAACTCTGGTGGTAAATCCATAAGTAGCCCTTGACTAGTTTTAACGAAATTATCTTCTAAATCAATACTACATTGCCAAGTGGGCAATAATAAGCTCATAAATCCTGGTTATTACATTATTAGTTAGTATGAATTTATAACATATCAAAAATATAAGTTTTAAAATATAAATAATCTTACCGCCTTTAGATATAACACCAAAAGAAACAGGAACCATTGGTCTCAAAAGGCCAAGTTTAGATTCACAAATTTTGTCTACATCTGGATCTAATCCCCATGCATACAATAATGACATTAATAATTGTGCAATTTCCATAGTTAAATTAGCACCACATACTTTACGACATACTACTCCACTAAGATTCAAGCCTACAAGTAAAAGTAGTAAAAAATAATTTTTGAACATTGATATAATATTGATATTAAAGTTTTACATTAATTTAATCTTAAAAGATTATTTGTTTTTATTTAATAATTGATTAAAATTATACCTTTATCATTTGATTTACTGTCTGATCCATCAATAACAGATTGTAATTTGGTCAATATATTATCAGAACCATCTTTACGTTTAGACATAATTCCTAAACAAAATTTATTAAGTTTTAGATATGAAATTTTAATATTAATTAAATAAACTTTAAACAAAAATTAATATACAACTAAATGTGTCAAAGTCCAATCTGTTTTACTAAATGAATTACAAAAGTAAATATAATAAAACATTAAATAAGTTGCATTTAACTGAAATAATTTGCTAAAATCATTTTATTAAAATATCAAAAATACATTTTTTAGACACTAAAATTCAAATATTGTAAGTAAAAAGTACTAAGCAGATTTTTTAATAATATAAATCCCAAAATGAAATATAAATATAAAAAAAAGGTTTTGACAATAACAATATAGATCAATAAAATCTCAATGTATTTATCAAAAAATCAATTATAACTACATTAATTATTATAAATATTGGTATGGATAAAAAAATAAATTGTTTTAATTTTTTTTGAATGTAATTATAGATTTAGTTCAAAATTAAATATATTACATAAGATTTACATAACATCAAAAGTAGATATATATATATTGGCGAGTCAATATAAAATTGTTTTATTATTAATTATTATTTTTTATTGAAAATTGTCTGAAATATTTTTATTTTTCATAACTTTAGAAATAATATACAATAAAGAAAGATTCTTGAGTACATTTTTTCTTTCAAAAATATAGCTTCTATAATTTAAAAAAAACATGCTCATCAATAGAGCTGGGAAATATATGTATTTATAAATTTTGTTTGAGTCACTTTGAAGGGACCCAAGTTTGTGCAACTTTATCATAGGATTATAAAGTATCGTAGACATATATTTCGTTTTAGGAGAGTAAGCCCCATAAAATTTGTAATGACTGTTGGTGTTAATAACTAAACGAAATTTATAAATACATATAATTCCAAACCCTTCTTAATTTTATGTCATCATAGTAAAGTATATGATTTTTATATATTATAATGTATAGTTTATTTTTAACACAAGTTTGAAAAAATAATAATATTTTAATCTATACAATTACCAATGAAATTTGAAAAATCAATAAAAATATATTCATATTTAAAAATAATTAATTAAATAGTGGCATGCAAATTTATTTACCATGTTTATCTTTCTCCTTTAATATACGTTCCATGTCCCCTGCTTTGTCTTTGACTTTGCCAAAGAAGTCTTATTAAATGTAAGCAAGCATAATTATTAGTATAAATGAAGAGTTTTTACCTTAACATTAAGTTATAGTAAAGATCTAGGACTAAAGAAGTGAATCAATCAATTCCTTACTTATCAGGAGAAAAAAATGTAATTTTCAATTCTTTTTGGAGCTAATGAAAATTTTTATATTTTCCTAAACAAATATACCTTTTAATACCATTAATGGTACATCATTTTCTCATAAAAAATATATCACATATTGATTTAAATAGACTAATAAATGAAATCACATATTGATTTAAATAGACTAATAAATGAAAAATCCTAATTTTGGTTGATAGGCTCCTTTAATTCTAGATTCTCTATATAATAATACTATTTTTGATTATTTAAAGGTTAAACAATTAGTATGAAAGTTAACTCTAAAAGTCAATTAATTAGTTTTCTTAGATTATTTTAATCTTTATTAATAATGAAATTGCCAAAATCAAATAATTGGAAATATTGATACAATTACCTGAAGTATACAAGGGGATTATTTTTACGCAAGCTGTTCAATTTCTCTTAATATAATTTTTTTTTTCGATTTTTTAATTACATATGTCTTCTTCTTCTTACTCGCCTTAATCCCAACTACTTGGGGTCGGCCATTTTTAATTACATATGTATTTTTATTAATTAACTTTTACAAAATAATTTTTCAAGTTTATCCCTTATTTCTTATAGGGTCATCAAGTTTCTAATTTAAATGGTAATATATGTATTAAGTAAAATTAAAACTATATTAAAAATATTATTAATTTAAAAAAACTAAAAAATATTAAAAATATTAAACTCAAAAGCCACAAAAAAATTAATGAAAAGTCGCGGATACGTATTTCGGAAACAATGTTACCATTATCAACGCTAAACACATACTGACACCCCGACTAGAAAAAACTCCCTTATATACCCCTAGTGACCTTATCACCTAGTGACGTTATCACTAAGTAATATTATCACATTTTGCCAGTTTACACAAGTTTAATAATGAATTTTTCAGTGGGCCAAGATCCCAATTAATTAAATTGTTTTTATTTTTAAACATTTCTATTGCTTCTCTGATATTAAGTTCTTTGTAATTATTTACGTTTTTAATTAGTTTTATGGTTTTAATAGAGTGATTATGTGTCAATAAATGTTCGGCCACTGGAGATTTCTCAATTTCTTGATTTTTAATATTTCTTAAGTGCTCTTTAAACCTGACCCCTATATTTCTTTTTGTTTGTCCTACGTAACATTTATTACAACTTTCACATTGTATTTTATAAATGCCTGATTTCCCCCCTGAGAATATCACAAGAAAAATCACATTGATACACTGGGGGCCAAACCAGAGATCCCGTGCACCAAAATTTGTTTCTACTCACTAGGCCCGGCCAACCTTTTAATTACTGTATATATAAAAAAAGGATAAACATACCAGCAATTTTTTTATGAGCTTCAGATGACACTGCTTGGGTTAATGCTGCAGTCTTTTGATATTCTGAAGCATTTATCAAACCATGAGCTTCTAAAGTTTTAGGGGACATAAGTCCATACTCTTCACTTAATAATTGAACTGTATTGAGTAGATGACAAATTAAACATCAACCCTATGAATTATATATTTTTCATCATTTTTATTAATACTAACCAACTAAAGCTTCAATATCAAAGCACAGAATATGACATTCTGGATCATTCAGATTTGTTCGTAATCCTTGAACCATTAATGGGAAAGCTCTATTTTTGCTATGGTCAATACCATCAGTATGTGAATTTTGATGCATTTGTTGCAATTGGTGAATTCCTCGCTATTAACATTTATATTTTAGAAAAACACAAAATAAATAAATCTTTATAGTATTTTAATTATATCAATTCTGTGGTTTATATGTAAAAGCTGATATTTCATAATAATGGGTTTTTGAAATTTATATAATTTGTATATAAGAAAATATTATGCTGTGAGTCAAAAAAATACGAGTCAATTTTATTGAGGTGGGTAGTTTTTTGATCTTTAAAAATACAATTTCCATAAGACTCAATTGAAAAATTTAATTTGTTTTGGCTCTTCTTAAAAATTGCTTACAGTGACATATCAGCATTTAGAAAATTGTTACAGAATTTTATTACTTGGGTAGCATGTTTTATAGCATTTATGTTACGATGGCGCAATCCTCTGAAAAAATGCACAGCAGGGTTAGCTAAACCAGAATCTACAGAACTTGAAATAGTTGTATTTTCATCACAAGCATACAGAACTTCTTCTCCGCTTATTCCATGTAGAACTCTATCTAAATGACCTGTAAACAATTTTTTTCAGAAATATTTAATGAAAACAATAACATTTTAATCATACCTGTTTCCATTTGCCATACATAAACTGTAGCATCTGAACAACCAACAATCATGAAATCGTCTAATGGTCTCCATTTTATAGTTACAACTGGAAATAAATGTCTAGAAGCTAAAACTACACATTTACGTTCAGACAAACTTAGTAAAGTTACTGAGTGATCACTAGCAACCGAACAAATGCACTTCAGTATCCTTGGCTAAAAGTGATGAAAACAATAAACAATATTTTAATTAAATTAAATTAATTTTTTAAATACTTACATTAGCACATGTGTTTGGAGGCACTAACAATTGTGTTATTTCACCTGCATGGACACAAAATCTATGCAGTAAAGTTCCAGCATATAAATCCCACAAGCATATAGCAAAATCAACTCCTCCAGATAGTAAATGTGATTTATCATATCTTGAGTGCATATGATGTGGATATAATAAGCAATTCACCCGTCCACTGTGACCTAATAATATCTGATGAGGAGGCCAATCTAAATCCATAAATTTGTATAATTTAACTCAGAATTTTTATATTAAATAATTAAAAATAAAATTTATCTTTTACCTTTATAATTTTGATGGTTACCATGTAACAGTTGAAGCATGACTGTCTGTGTCGCTGGGATAATAACAATAGACCCATCTTGTCTTCCAATTACAAGCCTACTCTGACCGGCTAAATAAATACTGGCAGTCAACTTAATATTTGGCAGATTTTCACAGTCCTAAAAAGTTATTATTTTTATAAATAAATGATAATGATATCAAATCTATTAATAGTTCTTACTAGTTGATTGAGAATTCCAACTGGATGAGGTTTCATCGATTCCCAAGCTTTAGATAAACTTGTACACACAAATGGTGAAAGTTCTTTAAAAAGATAATTTTATTTTTTAAATACTATTAGTTACCTATTTTATTAATAATAATTAAACATAAACACTTATGTCGGTTGACTGACATTAGGTCCATTTTTTTTCCTATAGTTATTTTCTAATTAAAAATATATAATGTCCAATTTTTTTTTCGATACATTAATTTAAAGGTCATTATTTTGATGTCCAATAAATAATCAGTTTCATTATTAAGGTTACTAATTATTATATTTTGAATAAAATTTAATATAAATAATTTATAAATCAATACAATACAATACATAAATAAAATAATATATATATATAAATAAAAATGCCATTTTTAATATAAAAAATTTGTCACTATAATAATTGCCCATAACAAAAAAAAATACCCTGTTACTTTGATATCATTAAAGGCGTTTTTCAAAGCATTAATATTAGCAGACTCAAAATCACTCACTGCGTATTGTGGATTTAATGTTACATTTAAAACCAACAAATCAGTTTTTAAATTCATAATAAATTATACTATAAGTAAGTTTACTTTTATGAGCTGCAAAATATATACTAATGGTAAAACATTGGCCATGTAAATAGCATGAAATGTCTGGATATAGTTTTATAAGTTTTATCTATTTTCTATCAGAAAATTTGGTACTTCTTGTGAGTAATTTGATATTTTTGTTTATTGCAAATTTTATTAGACATATAAGATCATTATTTCTACTATAATCCACTACAAATGATTTATTTAGTTTTATCAAAATATAAATAATTTCAACCACAACTTCTGACAGTGTATTAGGTATTGTTGGTCGTGATTTATTTTATTGTCTATTAATATTATGCCTTATGTAGTTCCTATCTGGTATATTAATTAACACTTATTCATTGTTAAAACCCTTCATAGACTGTCTTATTATTTCTACAGAAGCCAAATTTGGATTAGTTAATATTGTAATATGATAAACAATTTCCTTTCCCTCAATTTCAGTGCAATTTTTGGAAGGTATAAATTAATAGTTAAATCACATTTGTTATACATCAAGCAATGCATAATTGGTTATTTCTCATCACCAACACTTTTTGGTATTGTCCTTATTAAATGAATGATGATAGTAACAATACCTACCATAAATCAATATAACTTTTTTTTTAGACATAGTTAATCTTAGATCCATTGAAATGCAAATAAATAAAAAAAACAATGCGTGTAATTATAAAAAATTTATAGAGTATATTATTTGTATTAAATAGTGTTTGTAAAGTTAATGAATATTGTTGTTATTATTAAATGTGCAATATATTATTTGTAAAAAGTAATAAAAATAATTTTCAATATTGAACTTGTATCTAATAGATCAACATATATTTTGATGTAAATGGTCATTGGAATTTCATTTACTGGATGTAATAAGGTTTTGACAATAGTTTTTGAAAATGTTGGATTGGACCTTTTGTCTAGAAAATATTTTTGTCACTATCCTAATAAAATCTTCTTTTCAAATCAAGCCCATTGTAAGGCTCAAAGTTTAAAATTAAATTAGACCTCTACCATAGATGACGTTTAATTTTGATAATTTAAGCTGTTTATATCTTAACAAAGAATTTTGAGACTAAGAAAATGCCCCCTGAATCTGACATTGATTCAAATATGAACATTCTAAATAATTTTTGTGAATTTTGGTATGTATACAAATGAAAAGTCTAGTACAACAAAGTCTAAATTTTAAGAAATTCTATTTTAGTTAGTTTTAAATAGATATTTTTTTGTGTATTTTAATATAAAAATTGTTTTTATAATTAGATTATTTATGAAGCTAGCTAAAAAAAAACATTTAACATTGCTGGAAAATTTCTCAATATATGCTACTCTTGTAAAATATCTAAAAATGGACATACCAGATTATTGAACTGGACCCTTCACTTGCTTTATTAATATAATATATACATCTTGAAAATACTCAAATTTCAAAGTCTAAAAATTATTAAGTATACATACTAACCTGATAACTTTTTATGATTATCATTTTCTTTGATATAAGATAATTGAGCTGGAGATAATTTGGGAATTTTCCATATATTTACAGCACCTTCAGAATCTCCTCTTATCAATATTTTTCCATGTAGTTGCGATTCATAAAAACGAACAGCCGGAGAACAGTAAAGATGCTAGAAAAAATTTAATTAAAAAAATGTCAATAATTATATTAAGAGTATTAACAAACCTTGTTTGATGAAACTGATAAAATACTATAAAGATAAGGACTATCTCCATCTTCAGATTGTTTATGAAAATTTTTATTCTCAACTATACTACTGCAAATTTACAAAAATATATTTGAGGATTTATTTATGAAATAAAACAAATCTTTACTTTGCAGGTAATTTATACAAATATCCTTTTCCATCATCAGTCCAAATTAATACACGATCAGGAGCCAAAAATTCCCCACCTAACCAACGTTCACCTCGTGGGGCGTATACTGTACAAAGAGCTGAGAAATCTCCAGCATCATATATCTAGTTAAAAAATTATTTAAAACTTATAGTAGTAATAAGCTTTATTACTTTATAAGTAAAAACACCATTTTTCTTCACTTTTTTAACATAATGAAACAAAATTTTGATAGAATTCATCAATAATAATTGATTTTTAATTTAAAAATAATATTTTTTTTATTATTTTAACCTGCCAACACTTTGAACAAACAATCAATACTGTTCTTTGATGTTCTGAACAACAAGCCATTGTTAATGCATTTAAACATCTAATTTGTTTACTTTCATTTTCATATACTGGAGGGTCTGTAGGCCCATATTCTCTCTGTTCCAATGTCCAAACTTTTACTGTTCCAGTTGTTGTTAATCCCAAAACAACATCATCTAAATTAATTTATATATGACTTATGTTATTAAATATAACAATAAGAGCCTTTTATACATTAAATATCACAAAAATACCTTTGCAAGTATGTGGTTTAAGTACATATAAAGCACTTATCCAATCTGGGTTTACACGTGATGATAAAGAAAAAATAATTTCTAGTGAAAATGGATTCATAATTATAACTTCAGCATAATAACCATTACAGAACAGTCGAACATCTTCAGTCCCAACCATACGGTATGCCTAAGATATAAGACGAAAATTAATCTCGATAAATAGAGAAGTATATTTTCACTAACTTGAATGTTTGTATGAATATATATAGATTTAGTGACTTCTCTACATTTTCCATCAATTATATCCCAAGTACTCATTTCCCTAATAAACATTTATAATAATATAATAAATATTTAAAAAATAAACTAAAACAAGAATATTATTTAAAATATATATAAGTAAAAAGTAAAGTAGATTATTTATTTAATATCACATGAGTATAGTATAGTAACATATGACATAGAGTATTAGACCATACTAAAGAGACTTTTGTAAGTTTTTAAGCTAATGATAAACAAAATATAAATAAAGTTTCTTAGATATTCGGTTTTATGTTATTTTAATTATTATACAATTAATTAATAAGTGCACATAAAATTAATAGCTATTAAGAAAGAAAATTTGAACTCTAAAAATCAACATGATAATGTGATAAGATATACAAGAAAAATGTTAAATAAATTTAGCTTAGAATAATAAAAAAAGTTGTAATATTTATAACCTACCCATTTTCAGATGAGCTAACAAAAAACCCATTATCTGCAATTATACTAGCATACGTTAAGCAAAGAACAGGCGCTGTATGTCCAACAAGTAAACATCTTGGAGTCATCTGTAAAATATTTACAGTTACAATTTACTTTAAAAATTGTATTATTTTAATAATTATACATTAAAACATTATGTATATATATTATTAAATAAAAGGGTTTATATTATTTATACTATTTTTCAACTTCTGAAAAACAAAGTCAGCAAATAAATTTACTTTACGTCTTTTATATTTTACAAAAAAAGTATCACTTACCTTTAATGTTTCAGGTGACACAGACCATAGACATATTTGTCCATCATAGCAACCAGTTACAAGTGTTCGCTGATCAGGAGATAAATACACACAAGAAATGCAATGTGTCAAAGGGGTTTTACCCCAAAGAACTATAGGAACTACTAAACTAGTTCCTCCGGCCATTTTTATTTTCTTTACTGCAATTATTTACCATTAATTTAGTATAAATAAAACATTTAATACTTTGTTAAAAAGTGAAAAATATAAAAGTTATACAAATTTAATACTTTTAAAACTATTTAAATATTCTTATTATTATTAATAAACAGATTAAAATGAAACAACATAAAATAAGAATTATAATTATAAAAAAAAAAACTAAATATTTATCATTTACTGTATGGCTAAGTACAACAGTAAAGAAGCCATTGTAATATTAAAAGATAACACAAAAAATAAGGGATGAATGTAATTTATATTTGTTTTTTTAGCAAATTAGTGAAACTCTATTTTTATTTTTATATATGAATATATATGTTAATTAGTAACACCCAATACGATTTTACCTGTAAGCTATTTGATAATTAAATTATTATATTAAAACAAGTATTCTGCATCTTCAAGAATGAATAATGTTCTTAGAACGTATATAAAATAAATTGAGTCGTCTACTGTAGCTTAATATTTAAGAAAATCTAATAACTAATTAATAGTCAATTTAGATTCCATTTACTACAATGCATAACAATTTTTCAGTGACAAGTGTTGACTACAAAATACTGATAACATAGATCGATAATGTTATCAGTACACTGTACCATTTCTGGAACATTAGCGCTACAAACAGAAAAAAGATTGGTTATAATCGCAGCTGTAGAAAATATTTTAATACAGTTAAGAACTGATTTTTTATTAAACTTAACGCTAATGATCCTGTTTTTACAAAACTAATTAATATTTCATGATTTTTCTTTGCTTCATAATCAACAGTTTTATATTTGTCCCTGTTAAATTAGCGTTTGTTATCGGTTGATTAACTGCATGTTTGATTTTTGTTGGGTGAATTATAGTAAAAATTATTTAAACGGCTTTTCTGATAGACCTAGACATACAGAAAAATTATTAAGGCCGTTGTCTGTATATTTAAAGTTCAGTGTTTTAACTCAATAGTTACTGGTTAGTAATATGATTCATTCATATAACGTCACTTAGCAACTGATTATGTACATAATACTAAGTAATAATTCCTAGTACCAATAATATTAAAAATACCACAGATCTATCAACATTAAGTACAATTAATATAAATTTTCATAACCGATATGTAATTATTAATAGTGCATTATATACTTTGTTTGCTCGTAAAAACATTTATTTAAAAATAAAAAATTAGTTTCTCTCCCATGGATTTATTAGAAACATGGGAAGATCAAGAAATTCAATTTGATTTGAGTATAAGGTAATCACAGTTTTATTTTCTTTGTAATATTAGTTGACCCTGTTATATATTAATGTAACATTAAACTTCAATAAATTTTTTCTACGAGCTTGCAATTTACTTTTAATTCATTATATTTTATATTTTTGAGGGATTTATAATTAAAAGAATATAGTTCTATAATAGGCGTAACATAAATTTTAATGAATAATGCTTCAACAATCTTATTTTCTACAGTAATAACTTAAATATTAAAGACAGAATTATTCAGGAATTGCTTTACAAGGTTCAATTTTTTGATGATGACAACTTTTAACTTTTAGTTAACACATCGACTGATAAAATATGTATTTCGTTTTAGACTTACTTGTGTAGTATTAGTAACATCTGGAATCAGTTAATTTCAAAAAACTTCAATTTAAAATCTTTTTATTTCTTCATGAGAAATTTAAAAATGTTACTGCGGAGTGACATTCATTAATATAAATGTTGTCATCTGATGATGCTCAACATCGTATGAAATAATTTTTGATTTGCAAAGGACGTGTTGCTTCAGGTCAATTGGCAATGGATAATGTAAGAGTGTACGTAACTTATTGTCAAAACTAGACAATATGGACAGTGTTTCATTTAATTATATTTTTTGTGATAACTTTCTTTTTTCTATAGTTCGTGCTATCTATTGAACTTACTCAATCTAAATAAGATAAAAAGCAAATGAATGTTGAATTTTTTTCCAACTCAAAAAAAAAAAAAATTCAAAAACAACCATGACGAGTGGAATTTGAATCTCCCTACTCCAAGCGTGACAGATTTTAGTGTTACCGATGCGGCAACTGTACATCGCGTTTGGAAATAAATAAAAAGCACAAATTAAGCTAGTTTAAATATTCAAAGTCAATTTTCTCGGCTTGATTTTCTTCGTTATTGTAAAATTGAAATTAAAAAAAAAAGTCAATGTCATATTGATTTTTTGGAGAGGTGGGACTTGTAGTCCCCCAAGATTTTTTCTGGAAAACGTACAAAATTCAAAAAAAATTAAATTTATTTTTAACAATATTTTTCAAAAAGTTATAGATGTTCAAAATCAAAATAAATATTTTTGAATAAAAATTTAGTGGGGATTGGTCCTCACTAATTATAATATGATAACCCAACCTGAAGGGATAAAAAAAAGATTTAACTACGTATTATTGTAGAGTTTTTTGAACCTAATATTTTTTTTTTTTAGAAAAATTAAAAATTCTCAATTATGTGTGAGAAAATGAGTGTCTTACCAAATATCATTCTATATTTTTGTAACACGTAATTACAGATTTCCACTATGCCATTAAAATAAAATAAACCATGTTTTATCTGATTGTATTGATGAATAAAATAGAGAAAGGCTAATAATATCTAATCTCTACTATATTTTTAATAATTAAATATGAAATAATAAGTGTTGTATTCATTTTTTCTAAATTTCTTAGATTATTATAAACTGGATACTAGCAAAGAATGGACTTAAATCGTGTCTATGTATTTAAAGTTATTTAAAAACTTGCTCACAAGGGGGGATTCAAAACAATAACTTTTTCGCAAAAAATTAACATTTTCAACTTAATTTTTGAAAATGTTTAGGAAATACTGACAATTTTATATATATCTTAAATTAATGATTATGTAATATACTTAAATTAAAAAGAAAATTTGACCTATGGGGTTGTCTACACACCCAGAGAAAAACCTCGATCTATATAATAAATTCATTGTTCAATTTGATAAATACAGGGTGATTTTTTTATCATAACCCACTCAATTACTTGCAGAATAATAATAATTTAAACATTTTTTTTTTTTATTATCTTTAGTTACACATTATTCTTGAATTTTTAACTATGTAATACTTTTTAAGTTCATCCCTTATGCCTTGGAGGGGGGTCAACTTTGTTTTTTTAAATGGTAACACATATTTTTAATTTAATAAAATGTTTGAGTTTTTAATTTAATAGTAAATGGCATTTGAATTTTTAATATAACTTTATTAGCTTATTAGATATAAACATTTAAAGTTTCAAAATGTTGAGTTAATATACATGTATAATACACATGGGATTGTAAATACAGGTAGCTAATTGGATTTTTATGACATTGCTGTCTCAGTCACGGATTGTTTATTATCAATAGATATACTTTCTGTTATTCTGAAGTTCCTTGTAGTCCAGTGCATTTATTTATAGTAACAAACAGTTTTTATTGCAAAATATTGTACCAAGCCCTTTAAATTTTTATACACGTAAAAATAAAGCAAAATATAACTTTTTTATTATTTTTATAATTTCTCCGTATAAATTACAATATTAAATTATTGAATATCAATTTCATAGTAAATTTAATAATTATAATTAGTATTTATTCATATATTATATTTAAAAATCAAAGAACTACTAATAAAGATATAATTAAAGAAATAATTTATGTTGTTTTTGTAATCAATCATTCACCAATTTTTTAGAATTAAACATTATCTACAGATTTGTATTGAAGCGTTTCTTATGATAGTAATTTTAATCACTGTCAGATATCATCTATACCTCGTCCACACTGTGACTCGACCCCACTGTGCTACCGTTTAATTTTTATCTAATTTAAATTCACTAACCCAACCCAACCTGAATTTAACTATAAATTTTTACAATTATAATCAAATTTTATAGTACGCTAAATTGAGTAGATTTTTTTTTAAACTTCTTTTAGTTTATTTAGTTAAAATAAATTATTAAAATGATGTATTTTTAAATAACAAAAGTTATTTAGAAATGATTCTTATGATTTCTATTACTTATATTATTATACTATTATATTATTAATATTAGCAAAAAAAAAAATTTTTACTGATTAATTTACGGTAAATAGTAATTAAAAAATTTCCTGATTTCATATTTATCTTAGCAATACCATTTTTTTTATTCTCATAAAATTTTCTATTTAATGATGTCAATTTAGTCATGATAACAAAATCGATTTTTTTTTATTATAAACTCTTAATAAATTAACTTTAAAGGACTAAATAAATAGGTTTTTTTATACTTAAATACTCATTTTTTAATAATTAAAATTAATTAATTACTAATCAGGATATAATTAAATAAATAAGAGCTAATATTGCTTTTCTAATCATGCATAAATTTCTTATAATTAAACACTATCTACAGATTTGTATCGAAGCATTTCTTATGACAGTGATTAAAATCACGGTCAGATATCATCTTTACTTGTCCCAACTATCTCACGTTCATATTGTGCCGTGACCTAAATGTGCTATCGTTTTTTATTTAAAACTTACTTTTAATATTTTATTATTAAAATGCTTAAGAATAATAAGGCCCCAGGAGAAGACTCGATCATGGCTGAACTCCTGAAGAACGGTGGACAAAAACTAACGCAGGAAATATGGGACCTATTAAAAGAAGTATGGAAAACTGAAAGGATTCCACCGGAATGGAACCTATCGATAATATGCCCCATATATAAAAAAGGGGACCCCATGGATGTAAAGAATTATAGGGGAATATCCTTACTTAATACCATATACAAGATTCTATCGAACACTCTACTAAACCGATTAAGACCATACGCCAATAACATCATAGGAGATTATCAGAGTGGATTCATGTCAGGCAGATCAACAATAGACCATATTTTCACGCTTAAACAAGTAATAGAAAAATACTATGAGTTCAACAGACCTTTACATTTAATCTTTATAGATTTTAAACAAGCATATGACTCCGTACAAAGAGTAGAAATATGGAAATGCTTAAAGCTGTTAGGAGTCCCATCAAAACTAATATCGATGATCAGAGTGAGTACGGAAGGTTCAAGATGCGTAGTCAAATTTGGTCACGAGAAATCAGAAGAATTCCAAACAACAACAGGATTAAAACAAGGTGATGCACTATCACCAATACTATTTAACATAGTACTAGAGATGGCAGTAAGGGAAGTACAAGAAGAATATCAAGGAATTAACTGCGGCCGAAACCTTCCAGTACTAGCATATGCCGACAACGTGGTAATATTAGGCAAAAGTGAGCAGGATATTCAAAAAGCAACGGAATTACTGATACGAAGTGCTAAAAAACGGGGACTTAACATTAACGAGACTAAAACAAAATACATGCGAATAGGTAGGAACAAAGGTCAGATGCGAAATGCAACTGGATTACAAGTCGGAGGATATATGTTTGAAGAGGTAGATAATTTTAAATATTTAGGCACTAATTTNATTTTAAATATTTAGGCACTTATTTAAGTAGCACAAACGACAACCACGAAGAAATAAAAAAACGCATGACATCTGGAAACAAATGTTTTTACGCCCTTTCGGGGTTGCTGGGGTCGAAGCTACTGTCGAAAAAATCAAAAGAACGACTTTACATGGTACTAGCTAGACCAGTGATAATGTATGCATGTGAGACATGGCCCACGACCCAAGGAGATGAGAATAGACTAGCTATCATGGAGACGAAATTCCTTAGGAGAATTTATGGACCAAAAAGAAACGAAGACCAAACATATGAAATTAGGACTAACAGAGAACTGCAGGAATTATTCGGAAAACCAGACATAATAGCGGAAATACGCCACAAGAGACTGAGTTGGCTTGGACATGTACTAAGGGCTAAGTCAATAGCAAATGCGGTATTAAGATGGATTCCTCAAGGAAGGAGGCCAATTGGAAGACCGAAACAGAGATGGATGGACAAAAATAAAAAAGAACTAAATAAACTTGGGATAGACAATATTACTGAAGCGACTATGAATAGAGACAGATGGAAGGAGATTTGTTTTGCAGCAATGGGCCTTAATGGCCTTTAAAGCTGGAAGAAGAAGAAGAAGAAATAAATAGGTAAAGGTGATATTTTGTACTGATTATTTTTAACATATTAAAAATCAAAATCAGTAATAATTTTAAAATATTTTTTTTTGTTTTTAATTATTTTTTTATACTTAAATACTCATTTTTTAATAATTAAAATTAATTAATTACTAATCAGGATATAATTAAATAAATAAGAGCTAATATTGCTTTTCTAATCATGCATAAATTTCTTATAATTAAACACTATCTACAGATTTGTATCGAAGCGTTTCTTATGACAGTGATTAAAATCACGGTCAGATATCATCTTTACTTGTCCCAACTATCTCACGTTCATATTGTGCCGTGACCTAAATGTGCTATCGTTTTTTATTTAAAACTTACTTTTATTATTTTTGAAGTTTCTAGGAAATATTTACATCGTTAAAATATCTTTGAAAAACATTTTTTATAGTAGTTTTTGTAATTTGGTGTTTTAATTTTTCAAAATACAGAAAAAAATATTACAAAATTACTAAAATATTACTTTTTAACAAAATTTCGATTTTTGAAGTGAATTTTCTTTATAGAGGGTCCGAATAAAAAACGGATTATATTGCATAATCCTTGTATAATAATATTATACAAAGCAGCCATTGTATTGTTATACACAAAAAATCTATTAATAATCTTTAGACTTAGATGTTTATTAAAGTTACGTACCACTGAACATTTACAGTTTTATTTTATTTGATACACTAATCTACTATATTACTCAATTTTAGTCTGTTTTTAAGTATAACAAATTTGTATTTTTCATCTTTTATTCGCAATACATTTTTTTTTTTTTTTTGTTTGTTCTTTGATTCTGTTTTTAAATCAATACTTTCTTTTAATTCTTAATATTGAAAACCCAAGTTTTTTGACAACTGAATGGTTTCAAATGTTCGTAGTTATTAGTCATTGTGATTTTTGGGATAAATTTCATCATCATCACAAGTTTCAAAATGGAAATAACCACAATAATGATCCAAAAACTTCAACAACTCAATCAGGAACAACAATAGATACAATTTTCACACGATAAATTAATAATATCCAATCGAAAACTTACATCACTTATTTCAGTTACCATAAGCCTATTATATCTTTGTTACATAAAAAAATAAAATAATAATTATAAATAAAATTAATTTCAATTGAAAATAATTTTTTTTATTTTATCCCAATTCAAACCTAATACTTTATCAGTTGAATGACTCTGAAAGAAGTTTCACTTCATCCGCGCTTACTCGTAACACGCACAGTTTCACTTAAAAAAAAAAAAAAAAAAATTGTATTTATCTAAATATAGCATAAAGAATAAACCCTGTAAATTTAAGAAAAAAATGATTTTGTCGTGCAATCACTTTTAGATGATTTGACCCCAAGTTTAATATACAAAGGTGGTAAGATCATTCTATTTTTATTAACAAGATTAAATTTGACATAAAGTTATTTAAAATCATGTTCATGAAAAATCAAGAAAACATTTTCTCTTATAATAAACATTCAATGTTATTTTAGCCAGCATTTTTTATCAATTGTGTAGTAAATTAGGCACCTTATTATAAATATGTATTTGTTAATAATAATATTATTTTTGACTGCATAATTTATACATATATTATATGTATAAATTATGCAGTCAAAAATTTTCACAAACAATTGTATTATATAATCATGAAATGAAGTAAGCATAATTGTTGTTTTTAAGAGTTATTTTTGTTATGCTATATTTAAGTGTATATTAGTATATTTCCATAATAAAACGACAAAATTATTTCAAATAAATTGACCCGCTTGTTCTTGAATTAAGTATTTTATATTAATAAATTTAAAACTATTTAATAAAAAATATATTTAGAAAAGCTTTGAAAATGAGAAATGGTGAAAAAATAATCGATCGTTTGGAATTTATAGAAGATACCAAAGGCAACAGTGGTGACAAGGGAGTATTGATCATCACTAACTTGAGAGCTATTTGGCACTCAATGACTATAGCTAGAATAAGCCTGTGTAAGTTGATGATTCCACTAATTATTAAATGATGATTTGACTAATTATTATTTCAATCTTTTTTTAACAATTGTTTGGCAAGTACAGCAATTGGCTATAACTGTATACAAAATATCTCAACAAGAATAGTCAACTCTGTAAGTATATTAAATTTAATAGTTTAGTAAATTAATATAAATCATACCGGAAATTTATTTATTCGACTATATTAATAAATATTTAATATTACAGAGATTAAGAGGTACAACTGAAGCTGTTTATATACAATCGAAATATAACGGACTCAGATATGAGTTTGTCTTCACTAATCTAATACCGGGAAATACGAGACATTTTACTTCTTTCATTGGAATATACAAGTACGTTTTTGTTTTGATTTAATTTAAAAAAAACAACTAGGGATCATTTAATTTATTACTCATTAAGGTCATTAAGTAGTGTAACGCAATATGGCTTGTTAGCTGTTTTGTCTTATGTCCAAAACTTGAAATAAACTATTGTTGTCTTACTGACATTGAAATGGAAAATTGTTAAATTATGTACACATAACGAATTAAACAATATAAGAAAACATTATTGCATTATACATTTCTAATGAGTATTATTGAGTTAAGTACTTGTAATTTTTTCATGAAGCAATAGAATTCAATATTACTTATCTAAGAAAAGAATAGGATAAATTTAGATGGATATAAATAGAAGAATTGTTTTGTTTTATATTTAAATACTGCAACTGCCTGATCGTCTACTGTTTCATTAGAATTTTCAGTTAAAAATTTAGTGTATGAACGGTTATCATAATTTTGCTTAAAACCCTTACCATTTTTGCATATAGGAGTCAAATGACTTTTTGAATTGCATATGATGCAGCTGTAATCCTTGTATCGACAGGTTCTTTGTAAATGATTTGAGCGGCCACATACTCTACACTTTGGTTTATCCGATGGTTGATGGTTGACCTGTTTATTTTGGTGAAGTTGCTTTTGATAGTTGAGTTCCTATTCAGGCTGTTTCCAAGTATTTTTTTTTCTCGTGGTGGCTTCCTTAGTAGTCGCTATGTCTTCTATTAGCCGGTCTTGTATTATTCCTACAACGAATATATCTCGTATGACAGTGGTTAATTCTGACGAGAATTTGCATTTTGATCAAAGATTTTTGACACGAGCACCCTATTCTGCCACCGTTTCATCAGTACTTTATTTTGCCAGGTAAAATGTATGCCTAGCCGCGAAGTATAATTTAACCGGCTTGTAGTATTGATTTAGAAGCTTTAACAATGTGCTGTATGTTTGAGTGTTTGGTGTGCTAGGTACACATAAGCTAAATAAAATTTTATGAATTTCTTCATTGACAGACAATAGCAATATTGCTTTCTTTTGTACTTCATTTTCGATTCCATTCGCCAAAAAGAAATTTGTCAATTTTGACTCGTAAAATGGTAATATTCTTTCACGATTAAAATGTACAAAAAGTACCAATAATGTTAATCATATGTGTGCCAGTGATCGCATTCGCGAGTAGTGGACAATCCCCACTACTAATTTATATAATATTTATCGATACGTAAGAGGCATTATTTGTATTACACATCCACGAAGGAGAAGTAGAAATATTTTAGTATATGATTTATATACTAATGATCTGTAATAATTTCTATATTTTATGCTTACTTATAGAAACAGTCATAATAAACAATAATATTGTAAGAATGATGCAATGACGATTTTTAGGGGTACAAAGTATTAAAAAAAGGCACAGCAAACCTTACTACGGTTTGTTCTTATCATGCACTAGACAATGTTACGTGAAAATTGTACGTATTAAAATTGTGAACTAAATCGAATTGTGTCATTTTTATTTATGAATCATTAATTAATATTATCACTTGAGTTATTATAAGAACAAAAAAAAATTATCAGATAAAATTTTTATTATGTGCAATATTTATGTTATTTTATGACCCTCGAAGTAACTATCAATTTTATCCTACTTACCTTTGCCTTTATTTTATTAAGTTTTAAGTTACGATAGAAACATTTTGCGAAGTAATTTATGAGAGAAGATTAAAAAATTGAGTAGACATTTTAATTACCAAATATTCAATATTTTACTCGTAAGACAACTATAATTTTATAACATTTTTTTATTTATTATTTTACCATCTTAATTTATAATTAATCTAACAATTTATCCATATCTTAAACAGTTATTTCCCTTATGTTACATTTGTTTCTTTCTTTCTATTGATTAATTACAATCGTAATTACTAGTTTTTTGTGTAATGATCATTATACAAATAAATATTGTTTAAAAAACTGAAAAACACGCTATTATATTAAAGGTTATCGAACAAAAAAATTAAATTAATTTTTTAAATAAGCTTAAAAAAATAATAAACGAAAAATACTAGTATTATTGTGAAAAAAATCATTGGGCGCTCAATGTACGAAAAGTATGCACAAAACCCCCACGCTTTTTTCACAATAATACAAGTATTTTTCGTTCATTATTGTTTTAAGCGAATTTTAAAAATTATTTTTAACATTTTAGTTCGATATGCATTAAAAGCGTGTTTTTCAGTTTTTTTTAACTATATTTATTTTTCACTTTTTAGTTTCTTATGACATCGTTGTAACAGTCACGAAGTGTTTATTGTCAATTATGACTATCAATAGATAAAATTTCTGTATTGTCAGTTAGTGTATTTATAAACTCACAACTATGTCTTGCTACTATTGATAATAATGGCTATACACCTGAGAATATCGTTATAAATACCAATTAGCTACCTGTATTTGTATTCCCTTATAAATTATACAGAGTGTTCAGTAAGTCAGGAAACGGGTTTCTATTGTTCTCATTGTTTCCTGACCCGTTTCCTGACTTACTGAACACCCTGTATGTTATTAACTAAAAAAAATTTGAATCTTTAAATGTTTAGATCTAATAATAAACAATAAAAATTTGTTTATGTATATATATATATATATATATATATATATAATATTGATGAACGCACGCATATATGGGTACAAAAACCAAAAATAAAATTATACAGGAATAGTGTTACGGCGTGTGGTGAACGGGGTGGGGTGAATGCGTTATGACAGTCTAGTCTCAAGGCCATAGGCGACGGGATACGCGAGAATAATAACACGTGACACGTAGAGAGTTACAAACATACATACAAATATACATACGTACAGGTAAAACTAGTATGAGCGTGTTAAAAATTTGTCAGTTTATACTGACATAAAAGAAAAAATATATTTTGGTTATACTTTCAAAAAAAGATTTTTATAAGCAAGTAAACTATCGATAATTCTATCAATAAAATTAATCAATACACATTAAAGATCAAGTTAATTTATTTTAAAACTAATGTAAAGATCCAACTTAATAATTATAGTAAAAGACGATATTTCAATAGAACATTAATTAGGACAGCCATTATTAGTAGCATAGTTAATTATATTAGTATAACTATTTTGAGTTGCTTCATAAATGGTACCGCTACTCCATGGACAATTATTTTCATGAGCATATTTTAAGCAACGAAATTGACCATTTGCAGCAGCAAGTCTTGTTGTGCCTTCGTCCCACGGACACTGATTTTCATGAACATATATTAAGCAGTCTAAATGGCCATTTGCAGTAGCTCCACTCTTGGTTCCTTTATCCCATTTGCATCCATTTTCATGTGCAAATATCAAACAGAAAATATAATTACTCGCAGCGGCTTCCCTTGTTGTACCTTCGTCCCATGGACACCCATTTTCATAGGCATATTTTAGACAGTCTAAATGTCCATTTGCTGCCGCCCCTCTCATGGTACCTTCAACCCATTCACATCCATGTTCACGGGCATATTTTAGGCAATCGAATTTACCATGCAAAGCTGCTACAGCTATTGTATCTTCGTCCCAATTATATCCCTCTTCATGCGCATATTTCAAGCAGTCTAAACAGCCACTCGCTGCAGCGGCTTTAGTTGTTCCTTCATCCCAAATACATCCATTTTGATGGGCATACTTCAAACATTCAAAACAACCACTGGCTGCAGCAGCTCTAGTTGTACCCTCATTCCAAGTACATCCGTTTTGATGGGCATATTCTAAACATTCAAAACAACCACTGGCTGCAGCAACTAGAGTTGTGCCTTCATCCCATTTGCAACCTTTTTTATGTACATATATTAAACAGTTAATATAACCTCTTGCTGCAGCAGCTAGAGTTGTGCCTTCATCCCATTTGCAACCATTTTTATGTAAATATTCTAAACAATCAATACAACCACTTTCTGCAGCAGTTTTAGTTAAGCCTTCACCTAATATACATCCATTTTCATGAACAAATTTTAAAATTTCTAAATGACCCTTAACAATAGCACTTTTTACGACTGCCAATTGATTCCACTTACAGCCATTTTCATAAGCATATTTTAGACATTCTAAACTACCATAATTTGCAGCTGCTTCTGTTGTGCGTTCATTCCATGGACATCCATTTTCATGTGCATATTGTAAAATTTTTAAATTACCCCTCTTGGCAGCTGCTGTAGTTGTATGTTCATCCCACGGGCATTCATTATCATGTAAATATTTTAAAATTTTAAAATTCCCTTTTGTGGCAGCTGCAACAGTCGTACGTTCATTCCAAGGACATCCATTTTCATGTGCATATATTAAGAATTTTAAATTACCAAAATAAACAGCTATTTTTGTTGTACTTTCACTCCATGGACATCCATTTTCATGTAAATATTTAATAATATTTAGATAACCTTTTATAGCTGCCATATAAGTTGCATTTTTATTCCATGGGCATCCATTTTCATAAGCATACTTTAAAATTTTTAAATTACCTCCTTTGGCAGCTATTGCAGTCGTACGTTCATCCCATTTACAGCCATTTTCATGAGCATATTTTAAGCATTTAAAATTACCATAATTTGCAGCTGCTACTGTTAAGCTTTCATCCCATGGACATCCATTTTTATGTGCATACTTTAAAATTTTTATATTTCCACTTTTGACAGCCGCAGTAGTCGTACGTTCATCCCATTTACAGCCATTTTCATGAGCATATTTTAAAAATTTTAAATTACCTTTATAAGCAGCAATTTTTGTTGTATTTTCATCCCAAGGACATCCATTTTCATGTAAATATTTTAAAATTTCTATGTATCCTGTTTTCGCAGCCATATAAGTGGTAAGAATATTCAACTTATATCCATTTTTATGTACATACTTTAATATTTCTAGATCATTATTTAAAATTGCCCTTTTTACGATATCTAATTGATTCCATCGACAGCCATTTTCATAAGCATATTTTAAGCACTCTAAATTACCAATATTTGCAGCTGCTTCTGTTGTACTTTCATTCCACGGACATCCATTTTCATGTAAATATTTTAAAATGTTTATATATCCTGTTCTGACTGCCATATTAATTGTGTATATATTCAAGTCGTATCCATTTTCATGAACATATTTTAATATTTCTACATTACCCTTTAAAATGGCATTTTTTATGATATCGAATTGATTCCACTTACAACCATTTTCATAAGCATATTTTAGGCATTCTAAACTACCACGATTTGCAGCTGCTTCTGTTGTACTTTCATTCCACGGGCATTTATTTTCATGAGCATATGTTAAACATTCTAAATACCCATTAGCAGCAGCAGCCTTTGTTGTATCTCCGTTCCATTCACATCCATTTTCGTGAGCGTATTTTAAACATTCTAAATACCCATTAGCAGCAGCTGCAACAGTCGTATCTTTATCCCATTCACATCCATTTTCATGAGCATATTTTAAATATTCCAAATTTCCATTTTCGGCAGCCTTTTTCGTCGTACCTTTTTCAAATTGGAATATTTTTTTTTTACCCGAATATTTTATTGCTAGATAAGTACAATTATTAATTAATTTTTTCTGTATTTTATTTTATCAAATTATGTTAAAAATAATATCTAATATATTATTTTTCAAGTTATTGTAAAATTAATTTATTTTTGTCATATTTTTGGATAAATTCTACTTTTTTTTGTATGGGTATTCAAAATATTTTATAAATTTTCGAAAATAAGAAAAAGTTGATGTATTTTTAAAATTAAATAGTCCAAAAACTATATTCAATGTGATATGATATGTAGTCTGTGTCTTGCCTAGTCGAGTGGCTTATGTTAATAGAAATATTTATTCATAATATAGACGTATATTAGATGCATCCATTTGAGTACAAAAAAATAAAACAATTCGATTGGGCATAAGAAAAGTTACAAAAAAATAAACTATTATTTGTTAGATAATCCTCTTTAAAAATGTTTAACAATAATTAAATTAGTTTTATTAAACTGAGATTTTTTTAAAACTGAAAAAATACGAGCCAATTACTAAAAATAAACCCACACAATCTTTGGACTTCTTAGACAACGAATCCATAACTAGTGAATCAGTCATCTCAATGTTATCCACCTCTTCGTGGACAACTCAATTCAGCTGCTAAACTGTAAATAAATTTACCGGAATTCCACCTATATTTTTACAGGTATAATTAGCTTACTCATTGCGCGCACTCGCCAAACAAGTAGGAAATTACAGGAGTAGAACAAGTCATCACTAAAACATCAATCCATATCAATACAAATTCCAGTCAATTGTCCCGATGAATGCACTTTCAGAACAATTTAAATATTCATGTTTAACAATGAAGAAAAAGAAACGTATCACATTTTTGCCCTACATGCATCACGTGTATGTATCCTCCACCTTGCTACATACCAACTGTATGTATTAAATAAAATGCAATAATTCAATAAGAACTTATCATAAAGTTTTTATTGATCAATGAAATTTATTTATAAGAAAAGAGCTAAAAAATGACCAATTTAAAATAGCTTATAAAAAATCCACGGAATTATTTAAAAAAAAAATGTATTAATGTATATATCTAAGATATTTATAACAAAAACTGTTTTAGCTCAACGATTTATAAAAAAAATATGGTAGAGTTTAATAATATCGTGATTTTTCTGGCGAATTTTCCACTTACAAAGAAAGTATTTATTTATAAAATTAAAAAAAAGATTTATAATTCCAAAATGTCTCAAATATATAAATAAAAATTTAAAAATTTCTATTTTAGTCAATAGTATAATTTTATTGTAATTTCCTTTTAGACATTCGTTGTCGAAGCTCTAACAAAATTAAAAAAAAAATAATAGTATTGGTTAAATAATTTATTTTTATCGCTTCAAGTTTAATCTGAATTTAGGAATTCAGATCAGATGAATTCTAATCTTAAATTTTCATTAATGGGAACTAATATTTTTGATTTGATGATATGACAGATTTAGAAATTCATTATTAATTTCGTTTTCATAATACTGTATGCAAAGTGTTGCCTCCGGTATTTCAATAATATGTTCATACGACTATAGTAAATCTTACAAAATTTTTCTTTGTATTACTTTAAAAAAGTAAATTAACTAAAATGATTAGATATCATATGTAATCATAATTAATGCAAAAAAGAACTTACCTTCATCATTTTTCAAACACGATTTTATTAACAAGACAGTTATTATTTGCCAATTCTAGAATAAAACAAAAAAATCTTTTAGATATTAATCAATTACTTCAGGTAAAATGTATTACTTACCTTCATTATTACTAAAAGTTAACACTTCTAAGTGTCAAATTTCAAATAACTAATGCCAATTTCTCAGTTACATTTGTGTATACATATATACAAACACCGACCTAATTCATTTTTTTATATTTATAAACTTGTATTAATTTAAAGTAATAACTTAAATTATAAAACAAATTATTGTTTTTAGTCAAACTATTTACACACAAGTTAAAAATAGTAGCCAAATTGGTATGAATACTTTTGATTTAATAAATGTTCATATTTATTACAAAAGCATACATGATATGTATATGATGAATATTCAAGGAAAATAAAAATTTTATTTTTACAACTAAAATTATATAAATGTACTAACAAGGTTTGACATCTTTAATAACTTTTGATCCAGCAAATATTTTGCGTTAGTTTTAGTTGTTAAAGATGTGGGCAAGAGGTATAGGTCTATTGTGTTACCTTCTACCAAATTATATTAATTGCGTTCCTTCACATAACTTTTCCGCAGAAATGTTTATCCCGTTGTTGAATACCTCAAACTATAAATAGGACTTTATACTATGCCGTACTTACATATATTCAAAAAGTCTTGTCTCTCTATCAAAATTATGTGCTGCTTATGGTTTTATGTTTTTGATATTTGTATTATCATGTAATGATTTTACCAAGTGTTAATATTTTGCAAGTTTTTTTTATCATTGTTTATAACAAAAATAAACAATTTAAAAACTTTTAAAGATAAATGTAAATGTAAAGTGACACCCTTATGCCAAACTTCCACCAAACACGATCTCCCACATTATCTGCGATCACATCTGCCGTCCTCATATAGCTTCAATAACATCTCTTCATGTCTTTTTTGGTCTTCCTATACATCACCTTCTTTCACCATTCATTTCCATAATTGTTCTTATAGCTTTCGATTCCCCTTTCCTCATAAATGTCCAAACCATCCTAGTATTTTTTCTCTCTTCTTATCCACAATTGACGTTACATCTATACTCCTGTTATATGTTTTCTAATATTTGAAAATTAGTAAAAAACGAGTATTTCCTTCTAAAATATTATTTAAAAAGAAAAAAAAAAATTTATTTTTCAAATAATTATTGATTTTAGTTATTAATATTGTAGACACACTACATTAACAGATAGATGACCTGAGTATTTAATTTTAATTGAAGTCAAACTATAATTTCAATTATGAAAAATTGTAATTAATATTACTAGTAAAATCAAGATTTGGCATTGATGCGCTTTGTATTAAATGACATCCCCGACTATATATTTTGTTTTGTCGTAATCGGTCGAAGGCATGGTGATGATTTTTGTGGCTCGTTGTTCGCGTGCTAATCGGTTGTTGTTGACAGCGGCGGGAGCTACCGACTCTATCTGTTGTGCAGTCCAGTCCCCCGGTAGTTCCCCTTCCGTTCACCGGATCCCAGAGTGGGAACCGCTAGGGAGGATTGGCAAAATAACCCACAAACAAAAACAAAACACAAAAGCAAGAACAAGAACAAGAACCTAAGGCACCGGCCTAAACTAGCGCCTCAGGTCTTCCTGTGCGTTCTCAGGTCTTCTTCGGGCGACGTGGCTGCCTCTGTCTCAGGCGTTCCGCTTCCTCCTTTAACAAGACGGATTCGGTGAACGCCTGGATGAGCCTCCACGCCTCCCGGCTTCACAACATCAGGTTCACAATGGACCCGACTCGGAACGTGAACCCTAGTCGAGACTAAAAAAAGTCCCGCTCCTGGGCCCATGCCTCGCACCGGAAGAGGTTGTGTAGAACTCTTCCCGGAAGCCTCTTCCGGGTGATCTGAACAGTGGTCGCACGTCGGCGCGGCTGCTTTACGAATACGGTGTAAGTACTCGTTAAAGCAGCTGGTTTAGGCCCGCGCCTTAAGTATTCGTGTTTATAAGTTTTATGTGTTGTGAGTAATTTTTGCCCCCTCTCAAAGTCCTGCCCCCACATCCACGTGGTGCAACTCGGGCAACGGATCCCACTTTTTGGGATCCGGCTAATGGGGGAGTCCACACCACGTTGTGAATCAGCTCTTGATTAACCATCAGCTCTTGGTGGTGTGATTTATAGACGGCATGGGCCGCCCTGAAGTAATACCTAACGGTAGTTCCACACTTATGCCGGGTGTAAAAAAAAAAAAAAAAAAAAGATGACCAATCCCACACGGATTTAACGGATCAGAAAATTGTTTAATTTTGATCAGGGTTTAAAACAGCTTTCATTACGCTATGAATATAATGTAGTTATTTGATTCATATTTTTACTACCAAAAAACGATCGAAATCGTAAAACAAACGTGTTTATTACAATGATTGATGAAAACTGTATAATAACGACAAACAACAATATATACCATCAAACGAAATAAAACAAAATATCAAACATAATTTAAAACAAAATAAACACAAAACTATGACGTTAATTGTAAGAAATAATCCAAAAATTCACATACGTCAGTATGATATTTTTAATATACATGTTATTTTATACACAAGTGTAATTTTGCCTCAAAGTATTGCAAATTAGTACATAAATATAATATCTTTGTCACTATTTATCCAAGTTTCCCCTTGCGTTTTATACGTTAAAAATTTCCAATATATGTATGTGAATATTCAAATATTTTTTTTTAAGAGTGTATTAATGTTTCGTTATTAAGTATAATAAATTTGGGGAAAATATCACTACAAGCATGCCAGTGTCTATTATTACAAAAATTATGTTAAGGAAATTCTAAAATGCGAGGATTGATGGGTTAATTCTTTTTAATGTAAAATAATTATATATAACTTTCAGATATCGTACAATGTAAAACGTAAACAATTATATTGTTTAATTATAGTAAAACAGAAAACATTATAAATCCATAAATTATTGACGATCATGACGTAAAAACAAAATAATTTTGATTAAAGTCTAAATTATAAAATAAGGTTTTCATTTTATTGAACAGCTATTTCGGTTTTTTATTTTAAGATCATTAATAGTGTCAAATACAAGTGCAACTTGAAAAAATTACCTAGGTGGTTATGTTTTGTCGAAATGCAAACAAATATTTGTTTGTTTACTAGTTTAGAAGCATTTCAAAAAAAAATTAATTCGAAAAAAAAAACATTTGGTCACTTCTTATATGGCGATAAATACTTTAGGGGTAAAAATTTGAGCGACATTTCATGTAAAACAAGGAATGCCCTTGTTTTATGTAAGAAAACCAATTTTGTATTGAATTTTAATGAAAGTAAAATGAAGTCAAAATTAAAAATATGTTTTAACAGAGCATACAATACAAGCAGATTGTATCGAGAGCTGAAATTGCGTGGTGCCATTTTGCAAAATGGTCGATTGAAATTATTAATGTTGGAAAAAATGTATACTACTGTAAACGGAGTATGGAATTTATCCAGCGAGCAGGTAAAATTTCCGATCATTCTATTTACTATTAAAAGTGGACCTTCATTAAATTTTGTTGAATTGTTATTACAATTTAGATATGAACACTAATTTAAAATTTTTTTTTTTATTTTTAGGGTAACCTTGGAGCGTTTTTAATGACTAATATACGATTAGTATGGTATGCAGAAAGCAACGAAACATTTAACATATCTCTACCATATATTCATATATATTCAGTAAGTTAATCTTAAATTATCTTATCTGTTGCATCAAAACACTTGATTAATGACCAATGGTGGGTGAAAGTGATAGATAAAATCAAAATTTTAAAAAAGATAGCACAGGGGGGTTTTGCCACAATATGGATATGCGATAGTTAGGAAAGTATAGATGATATCTGACAGTGATTATATAATTGTCATACGACACGCTTCGATACAAATCTGTAGATCGTGTTTTATTCTAAGAAATTGGTGCATAATCTAAAAGCAATATCAACTCTTATTTCCTTAATTATATCCTGATTAGTAGTACTTAGATTTAAAAGTATATTTATGAATAAATATTCATTATAGCAATTAAATAAAGAATGAAATTAATATTGTAATTTTTATGGAGAAATAATAAAAAATGATAAAGTAGTATATTTTGTTACTTCTATGACAAACATGTATAAAAATGAAAAAGTTTGATAAAATACTTAAAAAAATTTTTTTTTTTTACTTATGAATATACAGGGTGATTTTTTTATCATAACCCACTCAATTACTTACAGAATAATAATAATTTAAACATTTTTTTTTTTATTATCTTTAGTTACACATTATTCTTGAATTTTTAACTATGTAATACTTTTTAAGTTCATCCCTTATGCCTTGGAGGGGGGTCAACTTTGTTTTTTTAAATGGTAACACATATTTTTAATTTAATAAAATGTTTGAGTTTTTAATTTAATAGTAAATGGCATTTGAATTTTTAATATAACTTTATTAGCTTATTAGATATAAACATTTAAAGTTTCAAAATTTTGAGTTAATATACATGTATAATACACATGGGATTGTAAATACAGGTAGCTAATTGGATTTTTATGACATTGCTGTCTCAGTCACGGATTGTTTATTATCAATTATGATTATCAATAGATATACTTTCTGTATTGTCAGTTAGTGTATTTATAAACTCATAACAATGTGCCTTACTACAATTGATAATAACAATGCTGTGTACCTGCTAATATCGATGTTATAAAAAACCAATTAGCTACCTGTATTTGTAATCCCTTGTGTATTATACCTGTATATTAATTCAAAAATTTGAAACTTTAATTGATTATATCTAATAAACGAATTAAGTTATATTAAAAATTCAAATGCCATTTACTATTAAATTAAAAACTCAAACATTTTATTAAATTAAAAATATGTGTTACCATTTAAAAAAACAAAGTTGACCCCCTTCCAAGGCATGAGGGATGAACTTAAAAAGTATTACATAGTTAAAAATTCAAGAATAATGTGTAACTAAAAATAATGAAAAAAAAATATGTTTAAATTATTATTATTCTGTAAGTAATTGAGTGGGTTATGATAAAAAAATCACCCTGTATACATTGGTCTTCAATGATTTTTTATAGGAATCAAAAATATACTTTTCTTAATGAAATTTTAGCGCTGTTTTCAAATCTGCAATTAAACTTTTTCTATCACTTCTAATCTTTGATATTTTTATTAATTATAAAAAAATGAGTATTTATACATATAAATTAATTAAAAACAAAAAAAATATTGTTTTTAAATTATTACTGATTTTTATTTTTAATACATTAAAAATAATCAATTCAAAATATTATTTTTAACTTATTTTTTTGGTCATTAGAAGATGATTTATAATAAAAAGATGGATGAATATGTTACCATGACTTTTAGCAACTTACAAATTAGAAATTTACGTAATTAAGTACAACATTTTTTGAGAATTCAAAAAATGATATTGTTTAAATTAATATGCAGTCAGGAAATTTTATAATTCCCATTCACATTAAATTTACTGTATACTTAACAGAAAAACTTCTTAATATTTTCTTTCCATTTTTATCGTAATAGATCACTTAAATCGAAATCATAGTAATCATTCCTAAATAACTTTTGGTGTTTAAAAATTAAAATATTCTGAACTTAATTAATTTTAAAATTTAATTATAAAATTTGGCTATAGTAGTAAAAATCTATTGTTAAATTTAGGTGAAATTAAAAATAATTTTTTTAGAAATGTATTATATAGCAACATGTTAAAAAATTATTTGGAATATAATAGACTGGTAGTAGCACACACACATAGAGTTAGTCAAGTGAGAGCTGAGAAAATAAATGAGAGCCACAAAAAAAAAAAAAAATAAGAAATTTCTTCACATGAGGGAAGTATACAGTGATGCGTTAATTGAAGTAATTAAATCTAAATTAGATTAAAATCAAATGAATTAAAAATTTCATCTAACTCAAAAACCTTTGTAAGGTATTTTAAAATAAAACAATACAAAATCCTGAACACAAAATTAACATATTTTTTAATACCATTGGGTCAAATTTTTATTTCAAATTAAAGTATTTAACATAAACTTTAATTTAAAATATATTATATACATATATTTTATTTGAAAAATTCGTTGGAGTTACTTTTGTGTAATAAGATGATAAAGTTGGATATTTTTAACAAATTATGCGTGTTCAAGATCGTACAACGTTACAAAGTTATAAATCTATTCAAATATGGTATGAGTTAAAAGAACATCAATAAAAAAAATTTTATTATAACATTTTTTGACCTTCAAATTTTGCTATTAAAATACTGCAAAATGAAAATGAAATTGAATTACTATTTAATAGGAGTATAACTATGCTAGTACCACAGTGATAGTTTATTTGGATATGAAGTTATAGGCTATAGAACATAAAGTGTTCTTTCGTGTTTTTAATTATGAAAATTGCGCAATCTGATAAAAAAACTAATTATTTTTTTTGTCAATAACTTTAAAAAATCTGTAATAATAATTTCAAATATATCTGAACTATAGTCGTACACATTATATCATTTTACATGGAATGATCCTTTCTTAGATATTTGTAACATGTGTTAAAGAGTTATTGATACTATTTTTAGGTAAAAATTAGAGAATCGAAGTTCGGTGAAGTATTAGTAATTGAAACCACAAGTTACAGTGGAGGTTTTACTCTAGGATTTCGAATAGACCCCAGGGAACGTCTCCGAGAAGTAACAAAAGAATTGTCCTCGATTTATCGCATACACTGTCAAGCGCCGGAATTTGGAGTTCATTTCATTAATACCGAACAGGTATTTATATAATAACACACTTGTGGCTAATATTTAAAATTGATAAATACTTTAAAAAATTAACTCAAAAATTCACATATCACGTAATGGTATTTATTGTAAAACGATTGTAAATTACTGAGTTTTAATTTTATAAAAAACGCATCTATCTATTCAATGGCGGAATTTCATTATAATTATTTTTGCGAGTGGAGAGGAGTTCTAATGAATATAATTATATTATTTTCAATGTTTATCTTATCAAAATCCCTATTTCTATTTTTAACAAATGACTGTTTGTCCATAAAAAAATTATGATTACGCCATTCTTTAAAGATTTACTTGAATCTAAATTAAATTATACAGTTATAATCAATTTAATTTTATCAGATAGAAAACAACGAACCATCCCCAACGTTATTGCCATCTCCTGAAAAGTACGATGAATTTGAAGATGAAAATGTCATAGGCGTATCTAATTCCCTGGCCAAGTACAGCATCAGTAGATCCGATAAGGGCGATGGTACACCGAAATATGACTCCTCGTTGGGACTCGCTATTGAAACTTTACCGGATGGATTTACATTGTCAACACTTTGGGAAGTAATACCAACAACGAACCGTAGTATTGAATAACAATGGATTGTTTTCAGAAATATCTGATGATATCATTAAAATTTTTTTTTGTGTTATTGTGGTTCTGTCTTTTAGAAAAAAATTCCTTTATGTCATATACATTCTTAATTCTATGCACTTGACACACAAAAATTTCTTGTATATATATTACGTATAAATATCGAATTTAGTGCATTTCCTTGTTTATGGAATTAAAAAAATTATGGGGTTTTATATAAAAAAAAATAATTGCTTATAAAAACTGAAGCACTAATAAATAGGTCCTTAAAAATATGGAAAAAGGTTTTCACTTAATAATGCACCTAAAAGCGAAGTGTGATCAATGGTGTTTGGGGGTTATACGCGTGTATACGGCGTATTAAAATAAAACAAAGGGTTTAGAGAAGTACACGATTTAAACAACGATTTATCGTTTTTTCCTGTTCACGAAAAATGCCATTATCGTCTTCTAAATGTAGTAAACTGATGACTACACTAGATCCCAAACGTGGTTATATTGTACATTACCGAGCTCTAAAACAAGCTGTAAAACATGGCGCGGTAGTTATCAAATTGCATAAATGTATCAGATTTATGTTAGCTCGTTGGTTGGCTCCTTACATTCAGATTAATACGGATTTACTCAAAAAAGCAACCACCACCTACGTTTGAACAAAACTTACTCAAAACGATGATCAACTCAAACTATACTAAGAATATATATATATACAAATATTTTTTAAATTATTTATTACTTTATAGGAAAAACTTTGGAGAATGTTAGAAAACACCAAAATATCAAACTCGTAGTAACCCAGAGAATTTGTCAAAGTTGGCTGCAAAACCGTCATATAGCCACAGTACCATATTTAATGTATATTTAGTTGCTGTTCACATGTACAAAGAGAGGATTAATTTTTATAAACCAATTTTTATCGGGCAGGGAATATTGGATATCAGTAAAACTATAATGTACAAATTCCATTATGAAGTTATGTTACCGTTATTTGGACCCGAAAGGCTCATGTTATGTTAGATGGACATCGATTCTATTATCTACCTAATTTTGACTAATAGTTTTCACGATGATTTGAAAAATTACCTGCTCGAATATTTCGATATATCCAATTATCCAACCGACCACCCGTGTTACACCGATAAACGTAAAAAACAACCGGGTACATTTACTGACGAATGTAAGGGCATGCATGTGCAAGAAATCACCGGATTATTGCCCAAAGTCTAAGCATATTTGACAACTCTGTAAAACTATAGTGATCAAGTGTTTACGATTGACGTCGATGAAGTGAAACGATTGAAAGGTGTGGGTCAAGGTGTAGTCAAACACGAAGTCAAGATGGTTGATTATTAAATTGTTTGCGGGACAGGCTCAAACAAATACGAAAGAAAATGTCGTTAATATGTTCTAAACATCACTGCGTTTCAACGGTAGAAATTGATAAGCTCGCGTTGTTCAACAACTTAGACAAGCATGCGATGGTCGGTGATGAATGTGCATACAAAGATGTGTACACAAAAGCGTGTGGACATTATTCCCTACAAAACTCGAATGTCAACGAATAATATTTATTTATATAAATGTATGATAACGCATAATAGAGTAGTCATATAAATAATATGTATTTAAATTTTATTGAATTAAATGTATGCTAGTGTTTAATAAAATAAATTATAAAAATGTACTATAATTATTGATTTGGTTATGTATTATACACCTATATATATCTTATTATATAATAGAACAAGGATAAAAACGCTTTTCTGGGAAAATTACTTAGCGTGCTCGAATTTTCAAAATTTTTTTTTTCAACGAAAGTACTCGGTCACCAGACTCCGGAAAAATTATTGGCGAAGGTCGGAAAATTTTTGCCGCTCCCGCGAGCGTTTTAAAATTTCGACCGTTTTCGAGAAAAACGCTCGCTGACGCCAGCGCTTTACGACTTAAGGTTTGAAATTTTCATCAGACCCGCCTAATGACATTCCTGAGATATGATAAAAAAATCAATTCAATCCGTTCATTTTTCACCGTTTTACGAGCTTTTTTTTTTTTTTATAAGTCCACGCGCATGGTTGTATTATTCTACCGGAATCAGTGGCCTACTTATGATGACGGCCCGAACAGATTTACGCGCCGAAGTGTAATATTATATTATTACATATAATATTAATATATAATAAGATGTTATCATTTGTTCATGTATGTCACATATTATGATTATACAAGATCACCAAAACAGGGTTCTCTTATTTAAGATACAAAATAACCCTTTAATTATACAATAAAATCTCCCTCTTGTAGAAATTATTAAGTAACGCCTACACGCAGGGACCCTCTTTTAATTAACCAATTACAATACAAAGCCTCAGCTTCTAGGATCACGATAGAGATCGCTGGGCTACCCCCTTCACACTATAAAAAGCCATTTTTCCCCATCTAAACCAGTTCTTTTGACGATTTTAAAATACACAAAATCTACGACGCTCTACTCAAGATTTCACTCTCCGGGACTTAGTCGATTTTTTAATTAATTTGGACTTAGAATATTTTTCAATTTAAAAACACTTAGTCGATTTTTTAATTAATTTGGACTTAGAATATTTTTCTTTAAAATTAAATGACACTTAGAAATTTTAAAGTGAATTTTGTTTTGGTGAATCTTTTAATTTAATTTAATTTGTTCAATCATTAATAATATTTTATTTTTCTTGTTATGAAAATAAACATCAAATAATATTTTAAACATTATATTTTTTTTAAATTATTTTATTTTAATAATAAATCCAACCTAAATTTAGATATTCATTTAATAATAAAAACTTATTGTGAGCTTTTCTTATTGGGTAGCTAGTCTCGTTGCTAATGTCTTTGTTTTAACAAACATCGCGCCGGCAGACAACGTAAAGGTTGCAACTAGACATTGTTCTAGAATTAGGTATATTAGGTTAGAATATATTTGTAAGCCTATGCGTATTGGGTAGCTAGTCTCGTTGCTAATGTCTTTGTTTTAATAAACATCGCGCCGGCAGACAACGTAGAGAAACTTACGAATATATTTGCAGTGTTTAATTTTTATCTTGGTTATTATTGTGCCGCATCCTTTCAAGGTGCTTTATTTTAGCACCGGGACACATTGGGCCACCACAATTCTGCCTTGATAAAATTTTTACATAGATATAGATATTTCTGAATCTTGTTTTGGCCAGGCCAGAGGAAAATTTAAGAAATATTGGTATCGATCTCTCAATAAAATATACTCTCTAAAAAAAAATACTTATTCAACAGACGTAAAAAAAAATCAATAATAAAAAAAAATTAAGATTATATTTATAATAAAATAGAGAGTGTTTAAAATCTTTTACAAGTAAGATCAGTCTTAGACTTTGTGTAATTAAATCATATTATTTAAAGTCTTTAGTCGTTTTTTGTAAGCAATTATATAGACTATATTACATATAGTGTAAATCGTATACGTAGTGCGTTTAATACGGAAATCAACACTGGATTACTTAAAATATTATTGTATCACACAGGACGTAAGGTAAGTACAATTTAACTTATGCTTTCGAACTCCCAACAATCTATTGCGTGATAAACCATTAATAATTAATGAGAGAAACAATTAATGAGAAAATTAATTTAAATAAAATTGAAGACAATTAAATCTAATTAAAATTACAAAAACTTATAATAAATAATTGATTATAATATTTTACCAAATACCCCTAATTTCTTTTTATATTTAACCTACGTTTTTTTTTTATTCATTTTTATACGCTAAATTTCTTTTTTTCTCTTCTTTCTTTTTATTTTTGGTTTATTACAGAAGGCGCGTAAGGCTCGAAGGGCCCCGGGTCTGGGGCGGAGCCTAGTATATATAAAATTAAATTGGGTTTTCCACAATTTGACGGTTCGCATATGAGAGCTATTATAGTGTTTAGCAATAACATTCCATGTTTATATTGTTGATGTAGTTGCTACGAATCAGCTTGATCGTTAAAATTGACAACGGCTAGCGTTTCGTTCTGTTTTTCAAAACGCATCGTAAATAATTTATTTATTTTTCTATTATAATTATTATTAATTATATTAATATTTAAATAGTAACATATCTTCTTGTGCTATAGAAAATGTTATTGTTTATTAAATGTTATCATCTTTTGTTTCCCTATCACCAGAGAGCTCTTTTGTTTGTTTGTTATTTTATACTTTTTTTTTTTTACTATAAATGTAATAGAAATTTGTATTTTCAATGTTTAATAATATGTTATATTAGATTACAACAACAAAATTTATATACAATAAAATAGCAGAAAATGTGTAAGGTTTAAAGACGATGTTTATAACTGTTTCTATTATATTTGGGTAATATTATTTAATTAAATAAATAAAAAAGTCAAAATTTCCAGTTCTAAAGGTATATTTATATCTTGAATGATTATCATCCATCAAAACTTTCAAATGGGACTATTGCCTACTTTGAAAAAAATTCTATGTATATAAATTAAATCTGAAATCCTGTCAATAATTTAAATATATGCGCATCACAATTCAATTTAATTTATTTTAAAAATAATGTAAAAAATAACTTAAAAAAAAGAATACTTAAAATTATTATTTTTCAAGAAAAGAATTAATTAAGACATCCATTTTTAGTAGCATAGTTGATTATATTAATATAGCCATTTCGAGTAGCTTCATAAATAGTACCATTACTCCATGGACAATTATTTTGATGAGCATAAATTAGACAACGAAATTCTCCATTTATAGCAGCAAGTCTTGTTGTGCCTTCGTCCCACGGACACTGATTTTCATGAACATACATTAGGCAGTCTAAATTGCCATTTGCAGCAGCTCCACTCTTGGTTCCTTCATCCCATTTACACCCATTTTTATATGCAAATATCAAACAATTAATAAAATTACTCGCAGCTGCTTCCCTTGTAGTGCCTTCGCCCCACGTACAACCATTTTCATAGGCATATTTAAGGCAATCTAAATGTCCATTTGCTGCCGCTCCTCTCATGGTCCCTTCAACCCAATCACATCCATGTTTACGGGCATATATTAGGCAATCTACATTACCATGCACAGCTGCTGCCACTATAGTATCTTCGTCCCAATTACATCCCTTTTCATGAGCATATTTCAAGCAGTCTAAACAACCACTGGCTGCAGCGGCTTTAGTTGTACCTTCATCCCAAACACATCCATTTTCGTGGGCATATTTTAAACATTCAAAACAACCGCTTGTTGCGGCAGCTCTAATTGTGCCTTTATCCCATTTGTAACCAATTTTGTGTAAATATTTTAAACAGTTAATATAACCACTTGCTGCAGCAGCTAAAGTTGAGCCTTCAATAAACTTACATTCATTTTCGTGAGCGAATTTTAAAATTTCTAGATTACCCCTTACAATAGCATTTCTGACGATATCGAATTGATTCCACTTACATCCATTTTTATAAGCATATTTTAGGCATTCCACATTACCATTAAAAGCGGCGGCTTTTGTTGTGCTTTCATTCCACCGACACCCATTTTTATGTAAGTATTTTAAAATTTTTAAGTTCCCTGTTGTGGCAGCAACATTTATTATATTTTCATCCCAATCACAGTCATTCTCATGAGCATATTTTAAGCATTTTAAATTACCATTGTACACAGCAATTTCTGTTGTTTTTTTATCCCACGGACATCCGTGTTCATGTAAATATTTTAAAATTTTAAAATTATTTTTCATAGTTGCCACATAAGTTGTATTTTCATTCCATGGACATCCATTATCATGAGCATACATCAAAATTTTTAAATTACCTCTTTTGGCAGCCGCAGTAGTTGTACTTTCATCCCACTTACAGCCATTTTCATGGGCATATTTTAAGCATTTATAATGACCACTAGAAGCTGCTGCTTTTGTTGTGCTTTCATCCCACGGACAGCCATTTTTATGTAAATATTTTAAAATTTTTAAATTACCACTTGTAGCAGCAGCAGTAGTTGTTTTTTCATCCCAAGGACATCCATTTTCATGAGCATATTGTACACATTTTAAATGTCGGTTATAAGCAGCTGCTTCTGTTGTGTTTTCATCCCATGGACATCCATTTTCGTGTAAAAATTTGAATGTTTTTAGATTACCTGTACTAGCAGCTACATTAATTGTATTTTTATTCCACGGACATCCATTTTTGTACACATAGCTTAAAATTTCTAAATTACTTCCTGTGGCAGCTATATTAGTTGTGAGTTCATCTAATTCATATCCATTTTTCTGAGCATATTTTAATATTTCTAGATTACCCCTTGCAATAGCAATACACACGATTTTAAATAGATTCCATTTGCAACCTCTTTCATAAGCATATTTTAAACATTCTAAATTATCATTAGAAGCAGCTGCTTCAGTTGTTCTTTCATCCCACGGACATCTATTTTCATATGCATATTTTAAAATTTCCAAATTACCTTCTGCAGCAGCAACAATAGTCGTATTTTCATCCCATGTACATTCATTTTCAGTAACTTTGATCGTCGCACCTTGTTAAAAATGAACACAATGTGTTAATTTTTATTATATTGAATTTTTATCAATATTCGATCACCAACTTCGATGAAATATGAAATGTATTATTCAATAATAAGTTGGAGTAGGACAAAGTATATAGAATACGAGTATATTAAAGGAGGACACGAGATAGGTGAAATCAGGAAATCAGTGAAAATGAATAAGGACATGATAATAGAGGTGAAAAGTTTTATGATCAATTGTGCAAAAGAACGGTGGAATTAACGAGGATATAAGACATAAGATTTAAGCCCGAGTGGGTGAAGTGGAGAGGGGTTTCAGGTATGTTATCCGACAAGATATTTACATTGAGGCTGAAACATATGTTCTATAAGACTATAGTGAGACTAGCTAAATTTATAGTAAGAGTGTTGTGCGGTTAACAAGAAAATATAATAGAAAATGAGTGTAGTAAATATGACAATGCATTAATAGATCAGTGAAGTAACTAGAGAAGATAGAGTAAAGAACGAACATATAACAGGAAGTAAAAGTGTAATGTTTACCATAGATAAGATAAGAGAATAAATACTTAGATGGTTTGGACATGATTTGAAGATAGAGGAATCGGAAGCTCCAACATCAGTTATAGAAATCAATGTTGAAGGAAGATGAGATAGAGGAAGACCAAAAAATATATGAGAGATGTTATTGAAGTCTATATGAGGACAGTTGATGTATGCATAGATGATAAAGCAGATCTTGTGAAGTAGAAATTTAGGATTAGGGTGGCTCTCCACCAAGTTGGATTTACCATTGGATTTATTTTAGTTATGTTCCTTTTTTCAAATAATTATAATTGGTAAATATGACTATATTGCTATAAAAAACATGATACATTTTCGATAACAAAATAAATTTGTAGCATTTTTTAATGAAAAATACCAAAAAATACTCTCAATTTAATATTATTTTAATGATAAGGGACTCTTAATCGAAACTTCTTATCTTAATAATTATTTTTTATATTATTAGTATATGAAATATTAAAAATAATTTATTAAAATCTTCAATATTATATCTGAATGATATATTTATTAATAAAAATTTTTATGAGAACTTTAATGATTATATAAACTCAATAATATTTATAAATTATACGATTCATTATAATATAGTTAAAATAATTATTATTTTAATAATATTATATTGATATTGTTGCTTTTTTAAGATAAAAATTAGTCTATTGATTTTCATTGATATTTAGAAATAAAGCAATTACATTGAAACACATTGTGTGTAATTCTATTATATTTATATTTTTAGATGACTACAAAGTGTATTCATTGAAATATAATTTTATTTGAATGATAAAAATTTAAACTAATTTGAATAATATTTTAATTAGATAATTTTGTAATAGTTGTATTTAAACAATAATTTATGGATTAATTTAAATCGTACAAATTTTAAATATTGATTCATAAAATTATTTGCATGAAATTTTGTTTAATATTGAGCCATATATGTAAGAAAAATCCTAGTTTGATATAAACATACAATTTTTTAGGATAGATCGTCGGGACAAATTTTTTTTTTCATTTTATAGTATATAACATAACCTTTAATTTGATATATGTTTAAAGGACGCAGTATTTCCGGAACATTATCAAAAATCAAGTTGAAAAAGTTATTTTTTGTAAAAAAATTACTATTTTAAATTCCCTCAGTGAGCAGAATAAGTGTTAGATTTTCAAAAAAAATTATATCAAATGAAAGGGAAATATCTAAGGTTTCAATACAAAAAAATATTATTTTTATTTGTTCATTTTTGAAAAAGTTATGGCAGTTTTAAGTACAAAAAACATCCCGATAAAAGGTCATTTTTATCGCAAACATTACATTTTTTTTTAAATTTTCGACAGCCATTTGCACATAGAAGATAAGATGTCGGGACAAATTTTTTTTTTTGATTTGATAGTACATAAAATAAGCTTTAATTTGATATATGTTTAAAGGACGCAGTATTTCCGGAACATTTTCAAAAGTTCAGTTGAAAAAGATCTATGTTTTTTACAATATTTCAAGTTTTGAACGCCCCCTATATAAGGAGAAATTGTCCAATTTTAATAAAAAGTATGTCAAATGAAAGATGTACTTATAATGTATTTAGAAAAAAAAAAATTGTGCTGATATATAGATTTTTCAAAAAGTTATAGCATTTTTAAGTTGAAAATCGAAAATTTTAACACAAAAATAGTGTTTTTTGAACTACGGCAGCCGTTTAAATGTAGAAGAAAAAGTGTCGGGACAAATTTTTTGTTTTCATTTTATAGTACATAAAATAAGCTTTAATTAGATATATGTTTAAAGGACTCAGTATTTCCGAAACATTTTTAAAAATTAAGTTGAAAAAGTTAATTTTTGTAAAAAAGTTGCTATTTTAAATCCCCCCTAATGAGCAGGTTAAGTAATAGATTTTCAAAAAAATGATATCAAATGAAAGGTAAATATCTAAGGTTTTAGTATAAAAAAAAATTATGTTGATTTGTTGATTTTTCACAAAGTTATGGAAGTTTTAAGAAAAAAAAAATGAAAAAATTTCGAAAATTAGCAATTTTTAAATTTGTAATTTTTTTGGATATTTCCCCCATTTGCGGGGAAGGAGGGAATTTTTTTCAATTTTTAAGGGTAATGTCTTCAACTAGATACAATTTGTGATCTTTTGACGTATTGTTGAAAGAAATCAGTCCAGCGAGAGCTGAGAAAAAGTGGCAACAGACATAAAAAAAAAAAAAAACACATAGTAAAATTAATACCTTCTCCACTTCGCATCGAAGCTAATAGTTTAATATGAACATGAAATCGATTCTCACAAGGAGAAAGTAGAATGCTGGGGGGTCCCTTATATTGTGAAGGTGTCACGTTACCCTTATTTTGAGAATTTATTATAATAAAATACAAACAGCACATCCGCTTCCTGAGACTGATAAATTTACAATTAGTATTTATTGCTAAATTGACAACAGTCCAAATTATTATAAAAACCCAAAAGACCTGGACATCTGGATCAGTCGACTTCAGTGCTTTGTATTATTCATCAGTCTCAGTACACAGTTGTTACTATCCGGCTTACTGCATAAAGTCAAGCCTGTGTTTTCCTTTTTCACCTACCACATCATCTTCATCATCATAGTCCTCTTTTCTTTCATTTATGTTACTACAATATTCAATTTAAATAATATAAAAATCAATCAAACTATGTGTTTTTTCACCTTTAAAAGAATTTAAAAACTTATTTTGACGGGTGGAGTTCGAACATTGTACGCTGAGCGTGTAAGGCATTGTTGGTGCCGCCCAAATACCGCAAAACACATCTAACAGTAGTTTATAAGAACAATTTAAGCTAGTTTAAAAATTCAAAATAGTTTTTTTTTTAATTAGAGGAAACAAAATATTCAAAATAAGTTTAAATTTATATTCAATACGATAGCCATTTGCATGTAGGAAATTAGTTAGGGACAATTAATTTTATTATTTTTAATGCGTAACATGAGCTTTTATTTAATAGTTCTTTATACATACACACTTTTTCCGGAACATTTTCAAAATTTATGTTAAAATAATTGCTCTGTCGAGTCTTACTCTTTTATTAACATTTTATTAAGTTCAAAATATGTGTACTTATTTAAAAAAACAAATTTGACACTCTTACCAGGCATAAAGGATGAACTTAAAAAGTATTACATAGTTATTAATACAAGAATAATGTGTAACTAAAGATAATCAAAAAAAAAAAAATTTTTAAATTATTATTATTTTGTAAGTAAATGAGTTGATACTATCGTAATAGATAGTGAGTTATTACAGTCGTTAAAATGATCTACTCAATTGAGCGTATTATAAATTTTGATTATAATTGTGAAAAATCATTGTTAAATAAGATCATGTACAGTAATTGCAAAATTTTAATCAAACAACTCTTCTAAAATTTAAAACTATTAAAATATTTAGATTTAAAATGTAAATTCATCTATTATTTAAAAAATTTAATAAAAAATAAAAAAAAAATATATCGTAATTTGTATGTAATTCGTTCCACTTACTAATCCTATGTGTATCGATTTAAAACAATATAAGAACTAAAATGGAAAAATATCAAACTTAATAGGAATAAATAATGTGGAATATAGTTTACCTTCATTAAATATCAAACACGATATTATTAACAAGAGTGATATTATTTGCCAATTCTGCAATATAATATAATAATATTTTAATTTTAAATAAATCACTTTAGATAAAATGTATTACTCACCGCCATTTTCACTAAAAATGTTAAACTCAAATGACTAATGACAATTTCTTTGTTATATTGGGTTATATATATACAATCACACAAATAATTAATTTTGTTATATATAGTTCTAAATTTGAAAAGAGAATTTATAGTAAATATTAAAGTATACCTTAAAAAATTGTTATTTTTAGTCAATCTATTCATATACAAGTTGAAAATAATAGCTAAATTTTCATTGGCAGAATACTTTCTTGATTTAACAAAAAAAAAAGCAAATTATAAATACAATTTTATATTTGGGATTGCGGCACAGTTGCTATAATTATAAACGCTTCGATGAAATCTGTAGATAAAGTTTAAGTTATAAAAGTAATTGTTGAATTATTCTAAAAGCAACATCATCTCCAAATTTTTTAAATACATCTTGATTAGAATTTATAAGTTTATATATAATAAATAATAATTTATATTTAATGTTATACAATAATAAATACACTATAAAAATGATATACATGTATAATACACATGGGTTTGTAAATACAGGTAGCTAATTGGATTTTTATGACATTGCTGTCTCAGTCACGGATTGTTTATTATCAATTATGATTATCAATAGATATACTTTCTGTTTTGCCAGTTAGTGTATTTATAAACTCATAACAATGCTGTGTACCTGCTAATATCGATGTTATAAAAATCCAATTAGCTACCTGTGTAACTAAATAAATAATGTGTAACTAAAAATAATAATAAAAAAAAATGTTTAAATTATTATTATTCTGCAACTAATTGAGTGGGTTATGATAAAAAAATCACCCTGTAGAGGAACTAAGGCCCCCCAGTTTGAGTAAGATTTCCTAATTGACTTAGGAACATAACAAAATATTTAATATATATTTTTATTAATAAAAATATATTTATTATAATAAATATTATTACAATTAATTATGTTGTTATACAAAACATAAATTAGTTTAAAAAAATGATTGAAATTTACAAACAAAAATTTTTAGTTAAATATTAAAAATTATTTTAAATAGTACTATTATCTATGTGTAATATAATATAAACTATATCAATCACTAGTTGATCATTAAACTTTATTATTAAAAATTGTTATGCATATTTATGTTATCATATTTTCACATTTATTTTTTTATATTCATTTATAAAATGCGTTTCCAAATTATTTCAAGGCAACTTACAGCGCATCAATGATACATAATATTTGTTTACTATCTCATTAAATGCAGAGAGACCTTTTTTGAGATAATTGAGTAATATAAATAAAAATCAAATTATTTAATAAAATTCAAACGAAAAATGCAACCATAAAATACATTGTATACAGGGTAATTTTTTTATCATAACCCACTCAATTACTTACAGAATAATAATAATTAAAACATTTTTTTTAGCTTCGATGCGAAGCGGAGAAGGTATTAATTTTACTATGATGTGTTTTTTTTTTTTTTTTTTTTTTTTTTTTTTTTTTTTTTT